CCTTCGTATCTGTAGGCGTCATTGCCCTGGCCGCCTCTTACGCCATCCCGATCGTCATCTCTCTACTTTCCGGGCGTGAGCAGGTGAACAAGGCAGTATGGAAGATGCCTCCAAATGTGGGCTGGGTGATCAATATCATCGCCGTCCTCTGGATTTTGTTTGAAATCGTTTTGTTCTGCTTCCCCACGACTCTCCCGGTCACGGCGGTGAGCATGAGCTACGCCAGTGTTGTTTTCATCGGTCTTTGGGGTCTAAGTGCTGTGTGGTATGGAGTCCATGCGAGAAAGGTTTTCAAGGGGCCGCCGGAGTCAACGGGTATTTAATTTGCGTCTTGGGTGTTGGGTAGAAGGATACTTGTGAATGAGTAGTGTCTAGCTCAGCCAAATACAGGATAAATTAGAATGTATTAAGTCCCATGCGTCCTAGAATAGGTGAGGGCTAACCTCGTACTACTTCGGGTATGGACCTGCCGAACGGCTGGCTCGGATGTATCATGTAATGCTTTACCATTCATTCAATATTGTCTCAAGCTGGTTACCATATTGGGCGATCGAAATTAAACAATATATCCGAAAGTCTGTTCAAAATTGTAAATGATTCAGAATCTCCTCTTCCTTATTAAACATAACCAACTCAAAGAGTGCGCAGCTCTTGAGCAGGGCATTAACCTCATAATATTAAATCAGCATCCAATACGTGCATTCCTGAATCCCAACAGTCGTGCATAAACATATTCCCAGTTTCTCTGTCGCTCCCCGTCCTCCTGCTATGTCTTTCCAAATGATAGGTGACAAATTTAACCAGCGACTACAGCCTTTCCGGTGTATAAATATACATCAATCCACAATCTGTGTTTTTCTACATTTTGTCTACCATGGGGCCATTTTCATGAGGCCACCATGCCTTGCCATCCTCCCTCTCCTTTTACCTACCCTATAGTCACTCGGCTGGGGCAAAGCAACACTTGCGCTCGGAACATTTTTGCCGTCTTAGAGTATCATATATACAACTGAACTCTACAGTGTGCCTAAAAAGAGAGTTCTTCTCTTTTATAGCCCTTAGTTTTCTTCTATTGAAATACTTTTAGTTCTCTTTGACATGGTGTCATCTAAAAAAACAAGCGATTGCAGTCACCCGATCTCAGAATCCAGTTAACCCATGCTAAACCTTCTCATTTCCCCAGTTAACTACATCTACAACTGCAACCTTCCTGTAATAAAATGAAGACACCTTTAGATAATTCCCTTTGGCTTAATGATATTTACGATAGAGATGTAAGTGACATTGAGCTCTGAATTGAAAGGTGCGCGTCGGTCTTATCTTATCATTTATCTTATCTCTGATAAGAGATAACAGTCACGCGTAACAGAAGTACCTTTTAATGGCCAAAGCAACTCCAACAGACTGGCCAGGGTATAATAAAGGGCATCTCCTGATGCTGCGTTGGCGGAATTGGCACAGGATGCTGGAATGGTCCCACGCAGGCCAGCTGCCAACGTATTTCCTCTGCTCTGCCACATCAATCCGGGGCCTTTCGTCTTTCCTGATTGAACCAGTCGAGGCGTAATCTGGATCGTCCTAGCAGAGCTTGGAGCCGTTTCAAGGAGGTAAATAACTGGGGGCCTGGCCCATGCGGCAAATTGGATCGAGGATTCAGGGCTGATTTGCTCCTGGGCTGTTTCAACGGTGGACGCGGAGCCAACCAGGAGCTGCAAGATCAAACATCACCTTGTCTCCTCGGCTGGATTGGCGAAACGACCCGTTAATATTGTGACAAGCATGGCGTAATTTCATTGATGTCCATGCCCCTACTTCATGTCATTATGGCATGCTCCCCCTCAGGATGGATTAATAGAGGTGGGCATTTCTTCTCTCCAAAGGCTTCCCCTTCAATTGATACCCTCTTTTTGGTCTGCTGCTCTCACTCTTTTTTCTTGCTCTCATTTTCAAAAGTCTAAGACTACTTCATCACAATGGGCAGGTCCTCTCTTCTATTCGCTCTTCTTGCTCTGCAAGTCTCGGTCAGCTGGGCTGCACCAAAAAGGCACCACCACTACCACGGGGGAAAGGATCAGACCGACGTTGATGATACCAACAGCGGCAACGCAAACCCGACCGGCTTCGAGGATCTATTCCCTGGGATCCCCGGCGACGTCGAGGACCTCATTCCATCCGAATGGAAGAGCCTCTTCCCCACCGACTTCTTTGGAGGTGGTGATTCCACGCCCGGCCCGGTTCCCATCACCGACAGTGCTCCCTCGCACACGGCCGATTCTCCCAGCTACACTCGTGCTCCAAACTCGACCGGTCGCACTCGTACTTCGACCGCGAAGAATACCCAAGTGACCACACCTACCCGGAGCACCACCCGAACCTCTGGACCGTCGCGGAGCACAGGAATCATCTCCCAGAGCACCGGTGCACCTTCACGAAGCACCAACGTGCCCTCGCGAAGCGTCACTTCACCAGCACGAAGCTCCACTACCGCAGGAAATGGGGGCGGTGGTGGCGGCGATGGAAGCTATGGCCCTACATTTATCACCATCGTACCGACCAACAGCGCTTGAATTATCTGAGGGCACAGACAATATTCTGCTCTTCTTTCATTTGGTCATTACACCAATTCCCACCTTTCATATCAAGAATATAGAGTTATTTTCACACGGACTTCTCCGGGCAGATGGCCTGGGAACTAGGGACAGCTGGCGATGGCAGGCCAACGCATTAGTGCAGGCCATGTGGCGTTGGATTACCGCCAAAGAGAGCTAGAGGAAACAAATAAACAGTGTTGGCGCCCCAAAATAAAGCAAGACTCTAACTTGAATGCTTTCATGTGACCTGATGTGCTCATGGAGGGGCGGCAGCCTCCAGGCACGCATAAAGGCTTAGCTGGCTGGTGGCTTTCTCGTATACGGTATGGGTGTGGGCTCCCACACACTGATATTAAATGATGGAGGCGCAGTTATTGGTACTCCGTGAGAGCAGTTGACTTTTTTTACTTTGGAAAATACCCATACTCGTTGTGCCTTTACTCTGTGGATGGTTGTTCTCCCAACATTAAAGTAAGGTATATTGTAATGCTTGCTTGCTACAATTGAAATAGACATGCCCAACACTTGCGGCCCAACCACACTAACGATAAGCCACTACTCCCTAAAATGAAATCAAACCCTTCTTCTCATTGTTCAGCTCGTCCAGGGCCACGCAGGCTGCGACCATGAGGGCTACGTCGACGCCGGGCGCCACGTTGAGATGGTATGTTTGCGCGCCGCCGATGAGCTCTCGTGCGTTGAGGATCTGGCGGTCGATCCTCGCGACCGTGGCGCCCGACTCAACGTGGATGATGTTGGCGCAGCTGTCCCTCCAGTTGCCGTTCATCTTGAGGGTGTCGGTGCGGCCGTCCTTGGAGGTGAGGGTCAATGTCGCTTCGCTGCCGATGACTGCATTCGGAGCTTTGTCAGCTTCACCGCAACGGGTAGATCAGTGTATTTGGGATCGGGATTCTTACGTTTTCTGTGCTTCTTGATAACAAGATACTTTTTCCCACTCTCGTCCTGGGCGGCAAGCGTGGGGTGGAGAAAGTGGAAGTGCTCCTTCACTATGTCGAAGAGGAGGTTGCCTGCCATGTCGGAGACCGTTTTGCGGCCGGAGATGGTGAGGTGCTTGCCCTGGATCTTGAGAGCTGCCTCGCCGGGTTTGCCTCCCTGATTCTTGTGGACCTCGAAGCTGTCTCCGGACAGGGAGAAGACCTTCTCTGTGAGGATGAGACTGTCACCGCCGGGAGTGATATACTGGTCGAACATCCCCATAGGGGGATGGATAGGAGGGAGCACAGATGCCATGGTGACTTGCTGACGTTTAGCAGAGGAGACGGCAGAATGGGAGCAGTGTCGGGATGTGGGATGGCTTCCGGGAAATGCGTTGAATGAGTAAACCGATGGGCTGGGGATAATCCAACTTTATAAGTATCCTTAATCCTAAGCGCACTTCGTGTAAGCTGGGGACTACTGCTGCAGGGCCTAGACTAGTCTTATCCAACTCTTTGTCCTCCTCTCCAATGAGCAGGCCTCACCAACGAGCACTAGACACCATTCAATGCATGTTTTTCACAACTTCTGCACGTAGACTCGTCCGCTGCTTCAGCCGCACCCCCGATGGCGCCGCCACCTCCCGTCTACTGGTGCAAGTCCTGTAAGCTGCAGCAGCCACGACGTGCTGACTACGGTCTAGGCATTTTTATGCAGCCAATCAGCTGTTGCCAATATGATCCCTTTGTTTAGGGCTGAAGATAGGGATGCTGAGCTGTACGTGCTGAGATGACCTCCTGGCCACGACCCACCGCTTTGTGAGTCTGGGCCGGCCTTAGCTTGTGGCCAATAACCTGGTTGCAACAGGCCGATGGTCGTATATCGCATTGCCTTGACGGAAGATGGCTGGCGACTATTGGAAGTTGGCCTTTTCTACCGGATTCAACTGGCTGTATTTAAGAACCTTAAATTCAGGGACCATTTCCTACATAGCTAGCTGTTACTAATAATAACCACAGGCAACACTGCACTTGAATAATATCATTTTTGAAATATAATTTACGTACAACTCATTCATCTCTGAGAATATTTGAGTGCCCTAGAGGGGTGATGTGTTGGTTTGGTTGCTATTTATGTACTTTTCTGATGGTGCAACCCCCTCTTATCAAGCGTAATGTAGCTTACTTATCTTCCTTTCACTCCCGAGATATACAACAATCTGCCCGTAGCCATGTGACTTGATGAGTGTCCCCAAAACTGATAAATACTTATCTGCCATGTCCCCACTGGAAAGACTGCGGCCTGACTAATTCGATGTGGAATCTCTCAACCACGTTACACCACTTGGCTTATAAATCAAGAGGGGGGACACCGATATAAATTGCTACGTCTTGCGAACCTAAAACTCTAGAATAATGTACATAATTGTATTCTAGACCGATTTCTAACGTGCAAGATTGCAACTCAGAAGCAATGCCTGAAGCACAAAAACATACCCCACGCTCCATCCTGGAGAAATTCTACGATGCAGAGCGTATCTACATGTCAGCCCCCGCGGACAAGCGAGACTTCAGCGGCATCGCAGCCACCCTGAGCCCTGATTATCGACTCTTACAAACACCCGCCCTGCCGTATGCGGGCGAGTACATTGGCCCAGAGGGCTTGGAGAGATGGGCGAAGGCGATGGCAGACTACTTCTCGGTTGTGGATGTCAAGAAGCCAGAAATCTTTGAAAGCGAGGGGTCCAACCGGATTGTAGTCTACTCCACCGTCCACTTCCAGGTCCGGGCTACTGGGGAGGAGGTGGATTACCCGTTCTGCCAGGTTGTCACTGTGGATTTGGAGAAGGGTGTGATGACGGAGATGCTGCCGTTCTATTGGGATGTCGCGGGGGTGAACCGCTTGCTCGGGTACACCCCCCAGAATTGATCTGTATTGATTTGGGCTTGGTTTTATCCACAAGAGGGCAGAATATGCTACTTATCATTAAGCTCTGGAGAGTAACAATCCTTCTTTTACCTTCACCAACAGCTATCTTTTGCGGCCAAAAAAGCGGGTGACAGCCGTGAATTGAGGCCACAGTTGGGTTCGGCCTCATTGCCCTGGCTAGACAGTACAGTCATCACAAGCAACACTCCATAGAGAAAGGGAAGAGAGCCTACTAGAATAAATTGATCAAGAGCTGAAACACCATGCGTTTGAAAATCACTAGAAAGGAAGGCAAGAAGAGTCCCCCCCCCAGTCCAAAAAACTGAAGCAAAAGCGCAGCCAACTCGCCTGATAGTATAACTACCACAGTTAATGTGCCTGGCAGGTGAAGAGGGCGGCCGCCAGCGTAGGGCTTGTGTTTCTTGGCAGGGTCCAGCTTGAAGTAAGGCGCTGGAGTTTAGAACAGAAACTTGGAAATAAGTTTAAATTTTCTATCCTGGATCTCCAAGTCTTTTACTTGCCGAGGCATATTTCATGGTCTTGAAGGGGTAATCTAATCAACGTTGGCCGCAATATCGGAAGGCACATGAAACACCCTTGCAGTTGGATTTGGGAGGCCATCCTGGCGACAATACAACAGCAAAAGAGAAGCATGTTATCTTGAGTGTACTACTGCCTGGGATAGCTTCTGTAATTGTTTGGATAGGCGGTAGAATTAGAGCCTGACCCACTGTCCACTTTAGAGGTGATGTATTATTGCCGTTGAGATCTTTTGAATCTGGTGTTTGAGTTATATGCCCTTTCATGTCACGCGTAGGCATGCTTGTTACTGAAATATCCTATGCTAGATTTGTGGGCTGCTGTATTCCTACCAACTCCAGCTTGTTCCATGTTATGTTTGGGGAGAGTAAAGCGAAAATAGGATCAACCAAGGCGAAATTTGTAATCCAATGGAGAAGTTATGACAGCCAAGGTCAGTAGGAGAGGATGCTTGCTTTTTGTAAGATATTGCCACCAAATAACAATGGGGGAATATCTGACACTTCAATGTGTGGTCGCATAATCTACCTGGAGCTGGCGCATGATGCCATTCCTTATTTTCTTTTTCTTTTTCTTCCCCCCCCTGGATGATGTTCCCACACGGAGTTGTGGCTCGGGTAACGGTAAATCCGGTTGAACCCGTCTCCATCTCGTTTCTGAGTCCTGACATGTTGGGAAGGGAACTTCAATTAACGATGTAAGGGATCCGGCAGTTGTAGTGAGGTAGCTGGTAGGCCTTGGAACCTCATCTCCGGCACCCTACTCTCAATCATTGTGAACACCATGTTGCCTTAAGATTCAAATCTCGCTGGCAAAACGGAAGACCGATGGGCTGTGAATTGCCCCCGCTATTTAGATCAGCCTTGGATCCCCTGTCCTCGACGGCCCTTGACGCAGATCCAATGATTTGAGAGGATTCATCCTCACCCCACTGCTCTGCATACATACTCACAGAGTTTGACAGACGCCACTTATTAGCGGCGTTGGGATGCCTAACTTCTTCTTATCATCGCACCCCCACTGCGGGAAGAGAGAACAAGGGCTGCGGAAAGCTAATGGGCATTTTTGCTTCTTAGATTTTTGTTTCGGCCCCTTCGTATGGGGCCGAGGACTTTTCATCCCCGTGAATATGGCCTCATGTCCTCCCAGTTTGACAGTACTCATTTAATGCGTCCATTTCAAGATCAAACCATAGCGTTGCGTTCATGTTTGGTGTCAGTGAACTAGGAGAAACTTCTCTGAGTGTGCCTACCCTTCGAACGCACTGCATCTGATAGGACTAAGTACTCAGAGACCCTTACCATCGGCATCCCGTCAAGCCTTCGGGTGACTGCATGAACGTCGGCGTTGACAAGATACGTGTCAACACATGACCGTTTTACAATGTGGGTGGGGACGATAGACGCTTCACAGGCCCACGGGAAAATATGAAACTTGCAGCTGGTTGCGCCAAAAGCAACCATTCGGGAAAAAGTGCTCATCTGCGTGTAATTGGATTAGCTCGGGCACAGCTAGGGCAACGCATGAATCTCGACCCCTGTCCATCTAGGGAAAAGCCTCTCTTGAATAAGCAAAGACTCAGCCTAACAAGCCCATTTGACAGATCGAGAGCTCTACTAAACCTTTTGCAAGTTGCAACGGCACCGGACACTTATGCCCCCATCAGAGTGACACTTCTCCACTTCCCTTTGGCCCCATTGTTGATCACCTTGATCTTATACCTTACGGCCCGTCGTGATGTTGTCTGCCTTCATTTATTCTTGGCCGTGCCTCATCGTCATGGGCTTCTCCTTTCCTTCGCCAGTCTAACACATAAACGTCAGTATTCGGCCTCCATGTAGAACAGTCTGGGACAGCCATGGAAACAACAACGGCTAGCCCCGAGCAGCCAACGCGACTGCCTCACCACACCGATGCTTATCTAGCAGAGAACAGGGGCCCAATGGTGGTGGCAACCTGCGTGACCCTGGCCTCGATAAGCACCATCTTCGTTTTCCTTCGCCTATTCACCCGAGGAAAAATAATGGCCAAAGTCCAGCTTGATGACTGGTTAACGTCAGTATCTGTGGTAAGAATTCAGTCGCTGATCCCCGGCCTGTCCGCGAATATACAGCTAAAAGAAGTTGAAGTTGCTGCAATGGGCCTGCGTCGCATGCGTTGTGCTGGCTACCGAACAAGGAAACGGGCGGCATGTTGATACCCTGAGCGCTCGCCAGAAGGAATGCACAATATTCTGGACCTTGCTCGCCTTCGCCATGGCAACTCCTGGATTCGGCCTTCCCAAGATTGCCGTCGTGGCTTTACTGAATCGACTGATGAACCCGGCAAAATGGCATGCGTACTTCCTGTGGGCGCTCTCGGGAACCTGCATGGCGTCGCTGGTTGGCTGCATCATCTTCCTCTACTCTCTGTGCACACCTGTACAGTCTCTCTGGGCGACGGACATGCCCGAGAGGAGATGTTTACCAACAGAGACACTGGTAAAATATTGTGTGTTTGCTGGCAGTAAGTTGGATGTTATGAGAGTGTCTGGCGAGCTCGACTAATATTTGTCATAGGCCTCTCGGCTTTTACCGACCTTTACCTTGCGATATATCCCGCAACTGTGCTTTTCAGGCTGCAGATGAATATCAGGAAGAAAATCGGCCTGAGTGTGGCCTTGGGTATAGGATCTGTGTAAGTGGTTGGCTGGTTCCGGCCTCCCGATATGAGCAGTTGCTAACGGAACCAGGGCAACCATCATCGCCGTCACGAAATGTACCCGGCTGCCTGCTTTGGCCGAAGTGGACTTTAGCTGTACGCATACCCCATAGCTCGCTGAGTTTTTATTGACCCTGACTTGAAACTATAGATAAAACAGCTGATCTTGTTATCTGGCTCGTGTTAGTGCTTCCTATTCTTCCGTTGTACGCGCGTGTGGATAACACCAGCTGACACCCAAACAGCGGCGAAGGCACCACCATCATTGTGGCTTCATGTATCCCTCTTCTACAGCCGCTGGTAGAGTTTATCTTCGGTCGCCGAGCTCTGAGCTCATCCTCCGATCCAAGCAACTTTACACCAAACCGGCATACGCGAGGGAAGAAAGACCTAGAAACAGGCACGCACATTACAAACAAGCGCCGTAGTCTACGCCGTGATCCGAACCACGATGCCTCTGATACCGAGCTGGTGGAAGTCGAATCACAGGAAACCTTCTTGCGAGAGCTCGACCCGGTCGAAACTGCGGATCATCTGGCATCTGCAAGCACTGATGTGCATATGGGCAAACGAATTTTACGGACGGATGTTGTAACAATATCATATGACAGGACTATAGAAGGGAAGATAGATGAGGCAAGGGCTGCTGGTAGGTCTTGTGACGACCCTGGCCATGGTTGGGTGAAGCTCTGAGAATTAGCAAAACAAGACGGAAGGCGGACTTATTCGACTCTTAGGGAAGAGGATGATGGTCGCCCGGGTCGACTTGATTAGAGGAATGGGAAAAGGATTAGAAAAAAATAACCTTTTTGATCACAGTACTTGGAAGTGGCTGTTTTGAATTGTTCGTAATGTGCTTGTGATCGTGATCTTCACTGTCGGGTGTTAAGTGCCGAAGAAGGAAGACAGCGTCCTGGTGCATCGCACTTGACGCTGAAGCCAGAATGGTGCCGCATCAGGGAGTAGGCGGATTAATCAGAAGGACATCATAGCGAGCAGAGGGAGAACTCAGCGTTGGTCAATTGTAAAATCAGAGACATAGGTGATGTCTACACACCAATGGACAAGGAAGGAATGCTTTCAATAAAAGGAAATTCCTAGTCCATTAAGCAAAAGACTTACGCTATTCGGCTGGATTGAGTTCAGCACCATGAGCAAGCATATTTCTCAGCAATTAAGAGTATCTCGGAAGGATGCATACCCCTTGATTAATAAGGACAAGGGTGTAGAAGATTTCTGGGGTTTTGCTCTACACAAGCCTAAAAGGATAAGGTCGAAAGATAAACTAGCACAGATTTGAAACCTTTGGGATACACAATCAAGCTGATGCGAAACTGCCTAAAGAGGGAGAAATTAATGACATGAGGTCGTGTCGTTATAGGCGGGCTTACAGTCCGGACTCCGCACTTCTGATGCGAGTTCTATCTGGTCCACCAAAGCAATGGGCTATAGATTATTTCAGCAGGATAGGGATATGCCCGAGTGTATGATTTTAGGTGAGAACCAAAATCATTTACCGTGTGGTGAGAGGCTCTTTCTTAGGACATAAGGCTGATATTGGATCTGGATAGTTGTTTAGGTGTAGGGGGAAAGAAAAGAAAATTGCGTCCGGTGCTGGCTCATTGCTGGCCCAACGCTGCTGATCTAGACCCAAAGGAATATCATTCACGTAGATAGATGTGGACAACGTCTAGTTATACGCGTATGGCATGACTGGGGTGGAGTTGCGGACTTTGCGGACGCCGGCGCAGGATTGTGCCGAGCGTCGTTCCATCCACCACCTTCGGTGTTATAAAGCCTCGGCTACTCGCTCTCCAAAACTGAATGATGGGCTACTGAACAGAAACTTGTTACTGCTATCAATAGTACGTTATCATTACCATGGCTTCATCTGAGGAACGTAAAGGCACCATCATCGTCACCGGGGCCAATGGCGGTCTTGGCTCCGCCATAGTGACAAAGATCCTCGGCGAAAGAGAACTGGCAGCAATATATACTGGCTTGTACACTGTCCGCAAGGCTGCCACCGCTTCAGCACTCAAGAACGCATTGAACGGAGCTCCCCATGCTCACAAGCACGAGATTCTGGAAATGGATCTTGGATCTATTGCCAGCGTACGAGATACAGCGGCCAAACTGAATGAGCGAGTTGCATCGGGTGACCTCCCTCCAATTAGGGCTCTGGTATTAAACGCAGCGTATCAAGACAGCGAAGAGATTGTATGAATTCTTCCCATATCAGTCAGGATGGGCAATATGAGCTGACCCAGTACAGAGAATGTCGGATGATGGTTATGAGATGACATGGCAGGTCAACTACTTGGCAAACCAACTCCTGGTGCTGATGCTCCTACAGAGCATGGACACCACTCACGGTAGGATAGTTATCATCGGAAGCTGGTCTCATGAGTAAGTATTTGGAGGAACACCTTGTATGGCATTCCCACTGATTGTATCCGTGTGCAGTATCGATGATAACAGGAATAAAAATGGCGGAGAGCCGTACAAAGGCTTGGATACCCTCTATCCAGGTGCGAAAGAGCTCGGCAAGGGAGAGTGGAGCAGGCCAGATAGTGGTGGGGGATGGTACACGGGATATCGACGATACGGAGCGAGCAAGCTTTGCGCCGTCATGCTGATGTAGGTCGAGCTTTGCCCTGTTACAATAATATTGAACTTTACAAGCAGCTGATACTAACAACACATCCTAGGCACGAACTTGCGACTCGTCTTGGGCAAGATCCAGACCTTTCTAACATTGCCGTGTTTGGTTTGGATCCAGGCGCTATGAGCTCTGATATCACTCGTCGACGCGGTCTCGGCATGAAGGTTATCATCAAGGGATTGATGCCTGTTCTCGCCCCGATTATGGTATACGCCAATCCCAATGGAACATTTAGAACCACTCGGAAGAGTGCCGAAGATGTCCATCGTCTTTGTTGGGAGGTGAAGCCTCCCCCTAAAGGAAAACTTCTCTATGTGAATGGCACGGACGAGCTAGAAACCTCAAGAGAGGCTCGAGACGAAAAGAAGCGAAAAGAATTATGGGAATATGGCCTGGAAGTAATGGAATTGAAAGGGGAGGGGACTGTGCTCAAGAACTGGCAGTAATCTCAAGTAGGGGTGTTAATTGTTTTCTTGTCCTGTCTCTCGCATCAGATTCAAACCGAGACTTGTAAGGTACCATCTAAGGTACTATTAAATGACAAATACTTTAGTCGTAACTGTATTCAGTCATGACTGTTGTGCAACCGCCTCCAACTTATTGCTATTGGTGCCCTTCAGTTAAATTTCACCAGCTCTCTTCGCTGCTCTCCGCCCTCATTTGAGCTCGACCCTGTTTTAACCACCAAAAAGATATTGGAGAATCCCCATAAGCCTCCTCAGGAGGAGGAACAGTACCGGCTGCTCTACCTTCACGATAATACATCGCCTAAGCACTATAGATCGCGCGGTTTTGTGCCTGTTGAACTCGCTGTCCCACCATGCCTCCCACGACAGCACCTGTCACCATGCCACCGACCATAGAGCCTTCCCCCATTGAGCCAACAACAGAACCAGCAGCCATTACGGCATTTTGAATTTGGGACTGGTATTGGGGGTATGGTCGCGTGTCATCTTTTGAAAAAGGCGCATTCGCTCGACCTGGACCTGAGACACCTTCAGCTGAAGTTAGGGTTGATGGGGAACATGTGGCGATTCTTTGCTGCTTTTCTCGGTGCTTACACTGCTGAGGTCGTGAGATGGCTCGGAACTAGCCTGGCCATGTGAGTGGAGGACCTTATCGAGAAGGGTCATGGTAACGTGGATGTTGAGTGTTCCCGATGATGTAGATAGGTTTATCAACCATCAAGAAACGTGAATTCAGTTGTTATAAAGTCTTACAAGGTAGTTGCTTCCCAGAAGGACTTACACAGATTGATGAGCTTCAATACCTCCCTTGCGTCCAGTTCCTCCCTTTATGTTAGACTCACCTGTTCAAGCCACGTGCGCATCAAATTGGGAGATCCTTTCCACTACTATCCCACTTCTTGCCCAGCAACCATGACATGCCGTCCAAAGCTACCTCTTTCACCTCTCGCGTGTGATAAGCTGGATACGCCGGTGTTGCCCAAGCAACGTGATTGGAATTCTCAAGCACGGAAAGCCTAGACTCCACCCCTGGCAAAGCCGAGAGCCACTTGTGATATACTATTGCATCATCCCGGAATGGATCGAGCCCTCCGCAGTAGATGAATACTTTCTTCGGATGGTTTTGAGTGGAGCTTGGATCAGAAGTGTCCAGATTGATAGGTGAGAACCACGGAGTGTGGACAAAATCACCAATTAACTTCTCTAGCTCTCGAATCTGGGTGATGTTAAACCCATCGGGGTCGGCGTTCTCAATTCTGGACTTGAAGTCCTGTTCATAGTGCTTTGGAACCATGGCATCAGTAACAAGCATTGGAAGGTTGCAGAAGATGCCAGTGATGGGATGTTGAAGACTAGTCAAATTGCTGAATGTACTCAGTTTTGCAGCCGTAGATCCGAATATACCACCGATGACGGCGGAAGCAGTCCCTCCAGCGCTCAGACCTCCAACAATAAACCCCCGGTCTAAGTCGACGGTCGTTCCATCTTGGCGCAATACGCCGTTATTGAGGTTATTGGCATCCGACAACCAGGAACAAACCTCCCAGGCAATCTTAATAGGTGCCGGAAATGGCTGCTCTGGAAGTTGGTTGAGGCTTGGGCAGGCCACAACAGCAGAAAACATAGACGCGAACCCTCGGGCAGGCGCTAATACCAGATCAGGAGTACCTGTAATAAAGCCGCCGCCGTGAATGTAAACTATCAAGGGACAGCGGAGCGGGTTTGCCGCTGAGGACTTTGGCCAGACTACTTTGGTCCGGTTGGTCTGACCATCAGGTAACGGGACGTCAATCCACTTCTCATCGAGATCATCTGGGCATCGGCCAATGTACTGGACACCATCGGCCTCAGCAAGGGCCATTTGCTCCCGGCGTTCTTCAACCGAGATGAGTGTAGGGGCCATCGGGATAGGTGCACGAAGAGATGAAGCTAAGCAAAGATGGTGCAGTTTATCTGGGCGTTTCTGTTGATACAAAGACCGACTTCGAAAACACTGGGCGCTCAATTCTATACTTGCTGATTTGGTATGGAATAGTTGCAAGAGCACAGCTGGGGGAAATGGCCCATTCGCGAGATTCATACTGCCTTGGGTACGCATATTTCCGGAGGGAGGGCAGACTAGATATTTATGCGCATTCGGGATCTCCCTGATGTGGACGGCCCGTCTTTAACACATTTAACACGCGGCCCCCGGCGGAAGCATCGGCTATGATGTACAGATTCTCGCTATTGGCATCACTAACGTTTAAGGTGGATTGCCAACTTTGCCACTGGTTGATACAGTTTAACCTTGGATAGCCCTAGAGGGGAGCACTCGTAAGGGAATATGGCTCCGTTTAAATCCAACTTGCGTTGATCCCTAGCATGTCGAGTATCCGCCTAATTGGCGTTGAGGTGTATACCGGTTAGTCGGCACCATGGAGATTACACTAGGCTTCCCCTCTTATTTAGGTCTCATCTATGCAGTATAAGCATTTTTTTGTCATTGTGGGAGAAAGATTATTGTAAAAATAGTGATCGAGTCGATTATACGTAGTCTCTTCCGGGCTGTTAGATTTTATCGAACCACTTAGGGTCAGAACCTGTCTGATTAGATTTGAATAGATTCCTGCTTTTAAAACGAGCGAGACTATTTGCAGGGTATGGAGCTCCTCGCAACGGTAAATGAGGTATTCGGCTGGAGTTTACCTGGGCTTAGAAGATCGACCAAGCCTATCGCCACCACATTCCGAGCTCCTCATATTTTGGGTTCTTTGAAACGATGTCATGTTTTCAATTGAAGCTGAGTAATGGCACGCTAGGAGCATAGTGAGTTGATGACGGGAAATCTTCTGTTCCATGCAAGAAGCATAGGAGAAAGACTAAACCTTGAGATATGAGAATGTATATCCTGCTGTTTACGAGTCCTTAACGAGCTCTAGAAGAATAAAAAGAACCTCATCGATATTTAAGCCTCTTTCATGTATTTGGATTTAAAGTGAGTGAATATGTGATTCTAACATTGCTGATGCTTATTGCGAAGTCTCACAAACTGCTTTCGGACTAATCCATGGATGTGCTAAACTGCGAGCAAGTTACTTTGTAACCAATAAAGCCTGCAGTGCCTCCTCAGTGTCGTACTTTGCAAGAAGGCTTTTCCTCAATTCTTCAATTTCTTCTCCCTTTGTCGCCCGTACCCCGTCCAGCATCTCCTTGGCCGGACCAATAAGGTGTGCGTCGCCAAAACCCATGATAATTGCCATCAGCACCACACTATCCCCCAGCTTCTGCATCTCACCATCTTCGTCTAGCCCATTCATAATCTTCAATAGCCTCTCGAAATCAGCATCCCCAGGCGTGACAATGACCCGGAGCACTGTCTCCTCGTCTCCAACCAGGTACTTGTGGTACTGGCCAGGATCCACCGACGCCTGCTTGCCAACCTCCAGCTTCTGAGCTGATGCCTCCAAAGCATCCAGGTCAGGTTCTGAAGAACTGTAGACTGAAATGGACCCGCTGATTAAATCAAAGGTTTCCTGGAAGCGAGAGTGGAAGTGCGGGGGTACTGTAGTGCCCGGCGTCATCGTTTCGATGAAGATGGTACGGGCGCCCCCATTGAGAGTAGTTGACTCCTCTAGCTGGAATCGGCGTTTGTCCCAGCGACGGTCGGCTGACATTTTTGCTGGTCTTAGAAAGGATGTTGAAGTTCAAGGTGTTGGATAAAAGGCGAAAGTTGTTGGAAGGAGGATTAAGTTCAGTTAAGGTTCCTCATTACACGACGTGGCGATGTTTATAAGGGTGAATATGGCACCCCACATAGAGCTAGGAACACGCTCCTGCTGACGTCTTTCTTGTTGGATCGTGGTTAGGGCGTGTCAGCATTTGAGGGTACTCACAGCTAGTATTTCCAATCATGGATTCATTCCCCGCTGGCCAAGTAAATGGTTTGTTCTCCACAGTAAGCGTATTCACTTGTTGCAAGCTGGTCTGGCGCCCGCAGTGTCTCCATTTGGGTAGTTGAGGGATTGGGGGGAGTGAATTGACGAGAACAAGAGAGAGCGGTGAATCGTTTGACCTGAGAACGAGTATGTATTGTGGTGATGGTGCATGTATGTCTTGTTACACGTGCTTTCAGGTTGATGATCTCAATTGCTCAAGAACAGATTAATCAATTATATTCAAGTCACCGCTGTCCATTTTACGACCGCCATTTCAACACAGCAATGGCGCATTCAGGTTTGTTTCTGGTCCTCCGTTTCAAGCTAGGTAGTATTTGGCTGTTGGCCGCTGCTGAATGACCGTCCTCTGCTGTGCATGGGTTCCGTATCTGGGTGCTGACACAATTCATTCGAGGACGCAGAGTAACAAAAGTTATGATTCAGTGACATTTTCTGATGACAGCTGTGAGTTGGATGGACATTCACTAGTGAGCCTCATGTCAGATGAGATTCGGGTGCACAAAAGATCCGAGCAGGGTAGTACCGAGGTCACCACATGAGCCAATTCTTATATTGCCTCCTCCCCCTCTGTTTTTCTGTTCTCTTCCCCTCTCGATCATACCTGATTCACCCGATTGATTGCACTTGAAACGATGCCTTCGGACGCTGAACCCGGCAAACTCGAGGATGTACCTCGTCTCGTTGAGATATGGGAGGCATGCTTCAACAGCGAAATGCTGCATGCCCTTTTCCCGCCCAATGAGATCGGGAGAACATACCTTACCAGAGCCTGGAATTGGTACATGGAGGAGAGCTCGCCACCAAAGGTCTTTGTAATCCGAGACGACGACGGTGCGTACGATCCACAGGGAGGCTATTTGCGTCTGATTAACCAACTGACATGATTCTCACGAAGGGGTCGTCCAATCTGGCATTGTCATATATGCGCAGACTGGCGAGCCCATCAAGTGGCAGGACAGGTGGGCACCACCGATCAAGGGCATGAATGAGGAGATCTTCGAGGCATTCTGTTCGTCGCTCGATTCTCAACATCATGCCATCATGGGCAACCAGCCGCATTCCTGTTCGTATACGTATTTTCAACTTCATCCATCCGCTATGATTTTCTAACGAGACTTGAAGTTGTTGAAACTCTGATGACGCATCCTTCCGCCCAGCGTCAGGGCTTTGGCTCAAAGCTTCTGGATCGGGCAGCTCGCGTTAACCCGGAACTACCCACCTACCTTGACTCTGCAGCTGACGCCGCTGGATTGTACCAACGGGTCGGCTTCGTAAGGCAGCCAGAAGAGCTACAAAAGAACCCTGATGCCATCCCCATGCTTCGGCCCGCAGTTGGAAAGTAATTGCGCTTATCTAGGAACGGAGGGGGATTTATTACGTCGAAGTGAATTGCCGGTTTGTTGTTCATTCCATTCTGGCTTGGTAGTGTGGCATAAATAAAGCTGGCGATTTGCTTATCTCGGTTATCGCCATTGTTAACCTCATGAACCTCGTTGTACTCGGCATAATGCATAGGTGAACAGCAAAGTCTAGCACACTTACTACCAGGTATTTGATACTTGAAGTTCCTATGACGGCTTCCGTGTTGATCCTAATTCTGCATGACGCGAGATATTGATTGAATTACAAAAAGAATAAGAAAGAAACTCGCTAGCGGCTAATACATCTCGATACAATATAAATGTTGGGGACCAAGGCAAAACATATGAATTGGATAGATAGTGGATGGGAGAACAAATCTAACAGGTTGCAGGCGAAGGAATTCGGGGCCGTCTCAAACCGATACACTTGTAAATAGATTACCAATTGGGCAGAATTATTCAACCAAAAGGACAAACGCCAGCTTGAGAACCACATAGACGTCAAATGGGAGCCTCCCAGTCTCTGTGGACGGGGATAGAACCATTATCTAACTTGTTGATCATCGGTTCATCAGTTTCATCGTCGAACCTAAAGTTGTCCCATGACCCGGGTGGCCCATGGTCTTCAAAAAGTTCATCCAATAGCATCAAGTCCTGAGACCCAAATGGATCGCTCATATTTTCCGGGTGGGTGAATGGAATCTCACTTTCTGTTGAAAGGTCGGTTTGGAATTCGGTTGGCGTACGTTCGATCAGCGTACGGGGTTGCCTCGACTCCCGTGATTCATTACTCATCATCGGTGAGATCTCCTCGTTCGTCACTCGATCAGGGACATCAGTCCTCATTGGTAATGACGCTATAGCCTCAGTTTCTTCTGGGCTGCGATTCAATAGTAAGGGTGGTTGCTGGCTATTTGGTCTGCTTGTAACTAATGTATCCGATGATGACGTAGACTGTTCGGTGCTGGACTGAGGAACAAGTAAACCATCACCGTTCTCAGCATCACCGGTTGTCAAGTTCTCAACCAAGTTCGCAGTCCACCTATTAGCAATTTCCTGTAATCCTCTCATCAGAACGATGTCAAAAAAAGAAGATAGGTCACGTTCTAGATTTGAAATCGATTCCAGAGCAATACCGTGTGATGCAAGTGTCGAGGTGATAATTCCAGGGCCTTCAGCAACCATCATGTCTTGAAATGCTTCCATTTCAATCGTTAAATCCGTGTTCACATAAGCGGACCTCGGTCGGGGGCGATGGTTTGGGAAAAGAATTTTGAAAATGGAGAACCATTGATCTTCAAGAGTCATACGATGGTTGACTCTCCTTGCTAATTGTTCTTTCTGCTCCCTTGTGACACCGTCATAAACAATATTCTGAACCGGGCACATTGCGTTTATATCGACCTCAAGATGTTCATTGCGCTCATCTTCTGTGTGGAAAATCTCCTTGCAGCGGGCACAATATATTGGTAGCTGATGACATCGGGACAGGTGTTGTTTCACATCCTTCGGTCTTTTGAGGGTGTATGAGTAACAGGAGCGGTACTTGATAGGATCCTTCTTCGCATATGGGCAGGCCAAGGACGCTTGCCGGCCACCCGACTGTTTACTTGCACGAACACGTTTTCTTGGAGGACCTCTTTCATCTGCACCATTCTGGTCATTATTTTCATCCATCTCATTGTGGTTTGCACCGTCGCCAGCTCGTTTACTCCCAGATGACGAACTGGATGATCCAACCGAAGATGATACGCGCGGGGCTTGACCAGACGACGTATTGTCCCCGGCATCGACTACACCCGATGCGCGTGACGTGCCCTTCTCTTTGGTGCGGTTGAAACAACTCTCGTATAACCGAAGAGCTTCCTCCGTCGCCTTCGATTTTATATCAAGGAAGGGGTGGCCATCCGGAAGAACCGGAACGCTTTCGGAATAATCAGACATCCAGACAGAGTCAGATTCTGAAGATTCCTCATCGGCCGCACTGGAGGCATCGTCTTCACCGCCCCCCCCCGCAATGGACACAAGGTCGGGAATTTCATAAGAAGCATTGCAATTTTGTTGGGTTTGCTCGGTCCAGACCTCTGGAAATCCATCCGCATCAAGGTGTCTGTTGACGGAGCAGGGTCGAAATGGGCTTCCTTGATCCTTGGATTCACCATGCTCGTTGAACATGCCGATGAGAGTCAAGTCGGACTTGAAAAGCCCAGATCCACAGCCTGCAGTCATCTCATCCGGGCATGAGAAGACGTTGTGTACAGGAATGTCCATTTGGTTATCTTCCAGCTGAGTTGCACGATCTGGAAGACATGAGCTGTCCGTTTCCTTTGAGCTAGCTTCGGTCATGCCTGGTACTGAGTAGTCGGTAGATTCAGTAACAGATCCTGAGGCAGCTATACCAAGTTTCCATTCATGGGAGGTCTTTAGCTTCTCCGCAACTGGGCCATTATAGGGTGCCTGTGATTTTTGATACTCTATCAGAGCCATTTCGTCAAGGTCTTCCTGAGTGACCGCCTCAACACGCCATGATAGGACGGAATCATATGACATTCTTTCTTGCCAGGAGCCAGTGCATAGTACGCCTAGGTCTGGCGGATCTGAAATTCCTTCCACATCGGTTTCATCGGGTATGTCGTCGTCACTCGGGACAGAGTTTTTATCCGGCGTCGAATGGATCTCTGCATATACCGAGCTCGATGTACTCCTGTTCTGTATTTGCACACCCGAGCCGGAGTCGCAAACAGAAAACCTGCCTGCGCAATCAACTTCAAACAAGCCAATTTGGCGGCGCTGCCGGCTGGAGGGTCGCCCTTGGCTAGCCGCTGTTATCTGGTTTGTCATTGTCGAAATACTCTATGCCAACGTACTTTGCGTACCTTATGGGATGATTAGGCGGATGCATATTTACGTACATGAAAGAGAGGAGGCTGGGTTGGGTAAGACTTGGTCTAGTGCTGAGCGCACAATTGTGCGCTCGGCTTCCTGTTGGCACGTCTGTGCGCAGGTACACCATGTTCTTACCTTCCAGGTATGACGCCTCGGTTAAGATTGAAATGCACTAGAATTGAACATTGCTACGTGAATGGCAACCCGCAGTCTCGATAGGAACGATTGCCGTGAAATCTCCTATCTAATATGCATCGACCACGACGATAATAAATATCTCAGTCTACATGCTTGTCCTCTTCTGCAAAAGATCCAAAGTCGAGCAGTACCGCAAACGAGTCGTCAAGAACGGCTGGGGCGGCAAGATCCCAGCCATCGGACCTCCATCTCCCTTTTAGACATAGTTAAAGCTCTATAATCATATTAGAGATTTGCATCTCAGTGAAGAATTGCAACACTTGAGGCAAATGTATGAATGCGAGACCTTTTGGAGACGCTCATGTGGGAATAGCTTACCCTATAGACCTCTCCTCACCACTGTGCACCTACGAGAATGAAGCATGCTTGATATTGTATCAACTGTCGGTATGATCGATAGATGCAAGGGGGTATATACTATGGATAAGTCAAGGTCATTCAAAGCAGTTGTACTTTAAATACTTTCATGATTAGGATATTCACATACCAGAAAAATCTAGTGTGAGGTTCGGTTCGTTGTGGGGATTGGCTTCTGTGGTGTAGTGGTAGCATCTACTTAGCAAGTAGAATATCGTGGATAGTTTGTATTCCTATTCATAGATGACGGGATATTGTACGAACCATGTACTAGTATGTCATAGATGGAAACACATCTTGCCCTATCGCTACAGTAGGGTTGACAACTCATATGAATCATTGCTCTCACTTTCCATTATTTGTGAGTCTCGTATTTGATGCTTGTTCACTTATCTGCCTTGATATTGATGTCTAAACTAATGCTTGGGAAATTGGCCCACTAGAGAGCACTTTACTGCAAGAGCCCATTCTCAGTGAGCCACTTCGTAACATTAGCTCCATCACGCTCGACCCATTTCTGCTTCGACTTAATAACATCCAGACTCTGCGCGAGGTCTAAACTGAAAACGTCCGTATTCTTGTCCGCAAAGAATGCCTCTACCTCGATGAGCTGATCATGCTTCGTCAATGAACTGGTCGATAAAACAACGAAGTTTCCCAACTGCTTTCCAGACGGTAACCTCTTCACCATAATATCCCAAGTGGACTTCATCCAAGTCCATAGAGCCTCGATGCCAGCCCTGTGGCTTCGAAGTCCGCTAATGACCATGTAGATATCCTGTGTTTTGACCTCGTCGCTCAGTGCGAAATCCAGAGTACGTTGGATAAGCTCCGGCTTCCTGGCGAAGCCTAGGCATCGGAGCACAGTATTCCGCTCACTGCTCTGCTTGGCTGTCTGGTACTCCTTTATCAGAGCATCGTATTCAGCCTCGCCTCCGTACTTGAGGACAGTGCTAAAGACGCCCGAGTGCATGTTAGGGTGAACGGCGCCTCTGTTGCCCTGTGTAAATTCTTTGAACATGGCAAAAGCAGCCGCCTTGACTGGTTCGCATCCACTCATAGCGGCTTTGGAAAACACGAGAGCCTTGAACTGCTGGACTGTGTGGTCGTCCATCTCAGTGATATCCCAGCCAACCTTGTCGGCAATGCGTGCAACCAGCTTTTGCTCGAGGGACTCAAGCGCCACATTGACATTGTCGGCTTCAAAGACCCAGGCTTGTCGAAGACTAGTGATGGAGTCGGTTATGACTTTCCATGGAATATAAGCCTCCTCGGACTCGAAACTCTGAAGAAGGGACAATAGTGATGGCGAATCCTGGTAGCCGGCAGCTGTCAGAGCGCTGGAATCTGCTATCAAACCGGCTCTGTCTTCGACACCCAGCAAGCCTGCCTTGACATTTTGTCCTAATTTTTGCAACCGCTCCGGGGTGTACAGCGTCCGGTATATACCGGAATGCCCCGAATTGAACTTGAAAAATGCACTGTCTGGAATTGCAATCTCGGCTTCCCTGTCGTTGAGGATAATATTCCGTTGGAGGCCGTCTTTAGTCAGAAGACTGAGTGTCACCGGATACAGCACCTCATCTTCAGCAGGTGTAGCGTCCCCCGTTCGCAGAAAGCGGTTCTGCTTGACGTGGACTTTACCATCAGTGCCATTTTCCGACACAGTAATAACCGGATATCCAACTTTCTTGGTCCAAATATCAGCGAGACGCTCAACATCTTGGCCGCTCGCTTCACTCAGGGCTCTCCAAAGATCTATAGACTGAGTGTTTCCATAGGCATGTGCTTTCAAGTACTGGGTGACGCCCTTAAGAAACACCTCCTCTCCTAGGTAGACCGAGATCATGCGCAGAACCGAGGAGCCCTTTTGATATGAAATTGCATCAAATATCTGGTTGATCTCACTCGCCCGCTTCAAGGGTACTTCAATTGGGTGAGAGCTGCGAAGAGAATCCAGACTCAAAGCAGACTGAAGATCATTGACCACATAACTATGCCAAACCTTCCACTCCGGATAGAAGACGTTGGCCGAGTACCAGGACATCCAGGTGGCGAACCCTTCCTTGAGCCAGAGCCCGTCCCAGAAATCCATGGTCACAAGGTTTCCAAACCACTGGTGGGCAAGCTCGTGCTGCACAACTTCTGTGACCCTTTGCTTCGTGGCCGCGCTTGATGCCTTCTCATCAAAGAGCAGGTCGACGACTCGGAATGTGTTCAGGCCCCAGTTCTCCATGGCGCCAGCCGCAAAGTCAGGCACAGCGACCATGTCCATCTTGGGGAGAGGATACGGGTTGTCGAACTGCTCCTCGTAGAATCTCAGTGTGCGTGCACCAAGCTCAGCCGAATAGATCGCGTGCTCGACATTCTGATCGGGCGTGCAGTAGACTCTGACTGGCACGCGGAAGTTGGTAGACTCGTAGAATTTGAGATGACCAATGACAAATGCAACAAGATATGTGGACATGAGGGGCGTCTTGTTATAGACGACAGCCTTTCGTTTCCCGCCAGTCACTTGGGAATCGACTTCCGTTTGAGAGGCAGGATCCATGTTGCTGAGACAGATCATGTCGTGGTCCGCGACGAGGGTGACTGTGAAGGTGGCTTTGAGGGCCGGCTCGTCAAAACAAGGGAATGCACGGCGGGCATCGGTGGGTTCCATTTGGGTCGTGGCGATGTACTTGAGGTTGCCGTCCTCGTCCTTGTAGGAAGACCGGTAGAAGCCAGCCATCTTGTCATTCAGAATACCCGTGAAGCGCTGGGTAAGCTTCAGCTTTTGGCCTGCCGGGATCTGTTGGTTCAGCTTCACGGTCTGTACGCTGTCGGCCTCAGTGTACTCAAGCGAAGGCGAGGAGATAGCCGCCCCCTCGTCGGTTTCCACTGAGGTCTCATGGATCTCAAGGTCAAGCTTGTGCAAGGCGATAGAGGTCGTTTCTTGGGCGACATCCAAGTGGATCGTGACAGTCCCTTCGTACTTGAACGTGGCGAAATTTGGCTCCAGGGTGATATCGTAGTGTCGCGGAATAACGTTGGTGGGCAAAGCCTCTCGGCCGCTCTGCCCACCGCTCCCTGAATTGCCGTTGTGGGACTCCATGATTCACCAGAATATGTAACTTGTTCGTGCTCTGTGGCCAAAGCGATGGGAAGAATTGAAGATGGGGGGTAATCGGAAGCGGTGGTGCGGGTTTGAGAATAGAGGTGGGGAAGGGCTGAAAATGGGGGAATTTATAGACCAAAGGTTAGTTTCCGGTTCGGTAGTCGCTTTGTTATCTAATTAATTCTTCCAAGGAGATCTTGGCCAAGGCTAATATATTAACTTTGAGACGGATCCTTACAGAGCGCTGTGATGTCAACGGCGATGGCACACACATGATACTTCGGCACAGTATGAGGCTATTTTAGGCAAAGCGGTGAGCAGTTTACTCCGAGCTTATTCATCGGGGCGGAATAAGTCCAGAAGGTCTACGCCAGATTACACTCTCCTTGCCGTGCGGGTTTTCTCTCCTTTGTGGGGGAATCTTGTTCTTTATTGACTGTGTCTCTAGAAATCGTGAACCAAAAGCTAGGATGCTGTGATCAACGCCTCAAATCGTCCCGGTGCGTAGCTATCCAATTCTTTAAACAGATCTAAAAGATATTTTTTCTCCTTCTCATTGGCAATTTCGAGAGTTAGCGCAAACGCATCTTGGTGGATGTTGGCCAGAAACAGTTTGACCTTTCGCACGAACGGGATGAACTTCCACAATTGATAACACCTTGTCTCGAAGGAAGCGCACAGCGCTTGTGAATCAGAAAGCTGGTAGGCAGAACTCCACTTGTAGCGCAGCTGAAGGAGACATAGGTGAAGACTAACAAAGGAAATGAGAGACTGGACCAGGTTGGTTGACGAAAAGTGATAGCAAGTCCCGTGAATAAACGTTGAATCGTTAACCTCAGTGACAGCTTTCAACTCCATCGCCTTCTCCATTGCCGAGGAGCTGGTTTCCCCTGCTGCAGCTTCCATATCACGAAGCTCGGTGGCCATTTTTGAAATGAGCGGCGATACATCGAATCCTGGGGCCTTGCCAGATGGATTGTTGATGGTCCTCATCCCTCGCATAATCTCGGGTAGCCTCTGCGAGACATGGTTGTATTGCGTGAGAGATGATGCTAGCATTGGCTGCAACTCTTCAATTCCAATATAATCCGTCATGCAGGCTACAATGGCGTCCTTCCAAGCTGGATCATCCAGCATGTTGTTCCAATCAGTTTTGACCCAATATGGTACCTGTATCCCGAAGTCAATAAATCAGCTCGGGAATGGAGTCATAAGCAAATGAAAGCCCAAAGGGCAGGGTTACGATAATTTCGCGGGTAGGCAACTAATAAGGTGGGCGACGTTAAAAAATGTCATCATACCAAGATTGAATAGCATTCACACAGTAAGCTTGCGTAGAATTTATCGTTTGGCTTAGGAGGACCTAGCCTGGCCAGCAGAGTGGCGATCCCCTTTTCGTGCATGAAACGACGATCTCCAGGGTCGAACAGGTCTTCTGTCCTCTGCAGGATGGCGATGGATGCCAAAGTCTCCACCGAGATGGCCTGGCCTGTGTCAAGCGTACGGGATAAGCTGCGAATAGCCTTGCCATACAAAGGCATATTGATAAACTCTGTAGGTGGTGCCCTGGAGCGGTAGGATGCCCACACGGAGCAGAGAAGCGCAATGGAGTCCCGGAGACTGGCATTGCCTTCTAGCCGCACTGGGAAATCTTCCAATCGCGCCGTCTGCATGATCATTTGCCGTTCAGGAGCATTATCAAGATGATGCACGAGCCGAGCAGCGATGCGATCTGCAGAGGTGGTCATGGTAGGCCGGGGTTGGGCAAGGCGAAACGACATCATGTAGCCGGAATGTGCCTGACGGACGGTACCAGGGATCGATGATTGAGAAACACACTGAAGCTGGAATGGGCTTTGCGACGGATCTCCCGAGCCGCCGGCGCTGGGTTGAACTGGCAGTCTGTGATTCGGATGGCGTCCCCTATGGACGAATTTGATCAGCTCAGTTGGGCCCGTGCAGACGATACCGTGTCTCTTGCATCTTTCGCATGATGGCCAAGTCTCATCGCACTGGCGCCCGCGTCAGCCCTCACTGGATCCCTCCAAATATCGATGACGCAGGTCATAAGAGACTAACCTTTACTCTGCGAAGTTTGCAGTTTGAGCATCCTCGTGACCTGGGTATTCCAGGCATTTTACAAGATATAGCCAGCTGTTGGGACTGAACTTGATACTAGCCGTTTTAATCAATTGATTGATGCAAATTGTTGTGACTTGTGATGGTGGAAGATTCGCCGATGAACTAAACCATCGTTCGGGGCCGCCACTTGGCTGACTTCCCCTGAAAATTTCAGGCCACTGGAACATTCAAGCTGAACTGTCCAATGGAAACAGCGTATTCTCGAGTGTCGATGGAAGTAACATGAAAAGTGGCCTTAGTCATCAGACATCCAGGATCACTGTTCGGGAAATATACAGCGATAATCAAGCCTGAGAATTCAACAACACTATTTTGTAAAAGAATCCTACTTGCGCTTCGCCTCTGCGTAACTCAAGGACGAATCGTGGTGGGATAGAAATGTTGAGCATTAAGCTACCATATTACCAGAACATCCCTAGCAGAAGTAGCCCTAATCCAGACTTCTCGCCTGCCAAGTGATTATTGAAAGCAAAAAAACCCGTCGGTCAACGCCAAAGAAACCATCTAGAAACGGCTTGCGAGACTCTCGAAATTACCAGTTCGCATACACCACACCCTCATAAGCCCCGAGGGTTATGCCATCCTCGTTGAAGTCATCGGCACCCTTGCCAAGTAACTTCTTTGCGCAACTATAGCCCTTTAAGTCGACCTGCTGCTCCCGATCCGAGAAGTTGAGCAAGATCAGAGCCGCCCTCCCGTGAAAGCTAGTCATCGTGTATGCAAAGATGTCCTCGCTTGTTTCATACTCTGGCAAGACCGAGAAATGCCCGTACACAAAGACATCTTTCTCTCGCTGTCGGAGCTCTAGAATCTGCCCCCAGAAGGCTAATACGCTGTCACCGTCTTTTTCCTGCTGCGCAACATTCCACTCTGCGTAGTCCTCGTTGACACGCATCCAAGGGTTGCCCTGTGTAAAGCCGGCGTTCTTGTGCGCAGTCCACTGCATCGGCAGCCTCCCATTGTCACGTGCCTTTAGTCTCATCTCCCTCATGACATCCGACATGTCAGCTCCCGGGCCTCTCTTCTTAAGCTCAGATTTGTAGTAGTTTAACCCTTCGACGTCAATGTAGTCGTCGATTTTCCACGACTCTGGCACATTCGCCATGCCAATCTCTTGGCCTTGCAAGAGGAAGAGAGTTCCGCTCAACGTTCCCAGATATATAGCCAGCATCTTGGCCGCTTCTTTTCTGTGCGCAGGTATATCCGATCCATAGCGTGACAAGGAGCGACCGGAGTCGTGGTTATCCATATAAACCGAGTTCCAGCCGTCGAATTTAGGCATGGCTCCTTGCCAGCGGCTGGTGATGGCCTTGAGCTTGGAGAGCCGGAAGTCATCTCGCTCATATTTGTGGTTGGCTCCGAAATCCATATCCACAATATCTCCCGTGAACAGCATGTCCAGCTCATGCCTATCCTTGGCGACGTAGCTGGCGACACTTTCCTCATCTTTGGTGAAGCCTAATTCTCCGACAGTCATACAGTCATACTTGTCCAGGACCTCCTCTCGCATCTCCCGGATGTACTCGTGCATGCGCGGGCCGCTGGCAAAGTACTTGTCTCCCGGTTGGAACTCGGCACCGGGTCGTGTGATGGGTGCATCAGGGAGATCCGGGTGCTTCGACATGAGGTTCATCGAATCGATGCGGAAGCCATCCGAGCCCTTGTCGAGCCAGAACTGCATGTCGGCATATGTCGCTCGACGCATATCTTCATTGGCCCAGTTCAGGTCAGGCTGCTCAGGTAGGAAGAGCGATAGATAATATTGGCCCGTGGGCTCGTCGTAGGTCCAGGCACTACCGCCAAAGATAGAAGCCCAGTTGTTGGGTGGCTTGCGACTCCCGTCTGAATCAAACTTGGGATCACGCCAGAAGTACCAGTCTCTTTTGGGAGACGTCTTTGACGAACGTGACTCTCGGAACCATTCATGCTCGTGGCTGGTATGGTTGACCACCAGATCTAGGAGTACCTTGATACCCCTGTCATGACAGCCTTGGATCAAGTTTTCGACATCTTGGATAGTTCCATAGGGGCGATGGATGTCACGATAGTCAGAGACATCATATCCCATATCATGCTGAGGACTCTTGAAGATGGGGGATAGCCAGATGGCGGTCGCTCCTACTGACTGGATGTAGTCAAGCTTTGAGATGATGCCCGGGAGGTCACCGAGTCCGTCCCCATCTGAGTCAAGGAAGCTGGCTGGGTAAATTTGGTAGACCACTACCTCCTTCCACCATTTCCTGTCCGGAGGGGTCTGGGCTGGCACGGCTGCTGATGACATTTTCGTGGCGTGATCACGTTCGATGCGAGGAATCTAGACGTCGTAATCAACTACAAATTTGGTTTGGGGCTTTTTATACCCGGTTGCCACGCCGGTGCGACAATAAACGGCGCATATCGACCTTGGGAACGCAGTGGAAACAGGAATCTCGGGTGAATCAATCATTAGGAGGTCCGACGTCGCGACCCGGTGAACTTGGATGGGTGAATTATGATTCGCTGACATCCTACTCGGAACAACCAACCCACATCGGTCCGACAAAAGGGAAACTATCTTTCAGCCCTTACACACGCTAAGTGGTTTGCCAGCCAATAGAAATTCAACCATGGCCCCCATAGCTGGAGTTTCCCGAATCCATCTCTAGGGGGGTGACATGATGAACTTTTACGGTCATGGATGGTCAAGACTCCACTCAATTCCCCATGGGCAGTATTCAGTCGGAAAGAGTTCCAACCTCTTTTGACGTCTTCCTGGGGATCGCGACTCAGCTGCACTTGCGCGATTAGTATAAAGTCAGGATGAGTTCCCCTCGAGGAGCTATAGGAACGAAACCTCACAACCACTCCAAGATCACTTTAACTGTTCGAATCAGCCCCTCTTCATATCCCACTCAGGATGACTACCAAAACTGAGGTATCCGACCACATCGAGAACGCACCTGCCTCAGACTCGGTGGCCGTACAGAATGCCATTGACGCCCAGCGCCTTACGGCAAAGCAGCAGTACCAACGCCTTTGGTCAAACCTCAAGAAGGACAAACGCTATGTCATCTGGTCAATCTACATCATGTCCCTTGTCTTCGGATGGGGCTATGATGCCGGTCTCTCTGGCGTAGCTGTTGCCTTCCCTGAGTTCCGCAAGGTTTACGGCGAATATTACCACGTAGGGGACCAATACGTGATCCCCGCGCTGTGGCAGTCTCTCTGGAACGCAGCTAGCACCATCGGACAGGTCTTTGGAGCTTTCCTGACGGGCCAGTTCGCGGACCATGTCGGCCGAAAAGCCGTTCTGTGGACTGCTGTCGTCTTGTCTCTTGCTTCATCTTTTGCACTTGTCTTTGCCCCGAGTCTCCCTATTCTTTTCGTCTCCAAGCTCCTTCTAGGCCTCTCGGTCGGCCTGTCAACTGTTACACCTCCGCTGTATGTCACTGAAAATGCACCAGCTGCCCTTCGAAGCTCACTTAGCTCTCTCACCAACGTCATTATTGTTTTGGGCTTCTTTCTCTCGTCCATCACTGGATGGGGCTCTTCACAGATAAAGGGTGAATGGAGTTTTCGACTTGCGTTTGTCATGACATTCCTCGTTCCCACACTTTTCGCCATCGGCCTCCCCTTCCTGCCCGAGTCACCAGTTTGGTACGTCAAGAAGGGAAGAGACAGCGATGCTCGAGCAGCCATCATCAAGCTCTACGGTGAGACTGTTGACGTTGAGGAACGGCTCAGCTTTATCAAGTCTGAGCTCGAGGTTGCTGCTGGTGAGGCCAACATGGCCAGTCAGACAAGCTGGAAGGCTATTTTCTCCAAAGAGCACCGGGGCCGAACCCTTGTTGCTGTCATGGGATTGCAATCCCAAAACTTCTCTGGTGGCTACTTCGCGAGTAAGTTGCCCGACCCTGAAATTTGTGGACCAAGTGCTAACCTCCGCAGACACATATCAGACGTACTATTTCGAGCTCATCGGCCAATCCGACCCCTTCGGGTTGACTGCTATATCCTCGACTCTCCAATTTCTCTCCAACTGCGTTGCCGTCTCAGTTTCCGATATCCTTCCTCGGCGAAAGTCCCTTATTGGCGGCGGTACACTGCTCTGCTGTTGGTCAATCATCATCGCCGGAACCTCGCTTGCTGGCACAGGGAATGGAGCGGCCAATACTGCCTTACTTGTTTTCATGATCACGTGGTCGATGCTTTACACCGCCACTGTAGGTTGCTTCGGTTGGGCTGTCGCTCAGGAGACTGCTTCTCAGGTAACACGTCCCAAGACCATTGCTTTCAGTCTCGTGTGTCAGCAGCTCACGGCGCTCATGCTGTCGTCCGTGTTCCCGTACTTCATCAACCCGGACCAGCTCAACTGGGGCGGAAAGGTCATGTTTCTGTTTGTTGGTGCCGAAGTGTTCATCCTCGCCAGTTTGTTTTGGTTTCAGCCCGAGACAAAGAACAGGACTTATCATGACATTGACTCCCTGTACGCGCAGGGTGTTCCCCCAAGAAAGTTTGCCGAGTATGTGGTGGACGACGGAACCGTGGTTCAAAAGCCACGTGTGTAAGAGGGATGGTTGGTTATTTTCCAGGGTGTTTCTCTTTTAGGTACCTTAAGAGTGCAGCATTCATCTATAGTGAATAATAGCAACACGCCTTTGAACTTGGAACTTCAAAAAATCCAGCTTCTTTCGTATAGGCTGAGTAAGAGACCTAAGCTGATGCAGGATATTCAATCAACCTACCTTTTGCTAATAGTGACTGAAGTCACGTGTTCCAACCACACAGTCCGAAGTAGCGTTATAACTCCGCATTATATAAAGCTTGTCCCCGCAATGTTCAAACTTTGTTCACCCGACCCGCCATTCTTACCCAGCCGTCCCTTGATCAGGTCATGTCAAGTCCAGCAGGCTCAAGATCCTTGAGAAAGCCCTTCAAAGTCCGACAAGCATGTGATGCTTGTCATAAGCGGAAGATTCGCTGTGATGGCTGCAGGCCGTGCCTCAATTGCCGAGGGCCAGGGGTAGATTGCACCTACTTGGCCGTGCACAAGAAGACTGGACCTAGAGGCCCAAGACATGCACGAAAGTGCCCCCTTCGTAGCCCCGGCCAAGATGTTCCTCGCTTTGGGGTCACTGGGACCGTTTCGCCGCCATCCCCTGAGAGGTTTCTTCAGTCACCTGAAATAACTGAAGCTGTCATTCAATGTTGCCTCGACGCCTACTTTGAACATAAATATCCGCTCACGCCTATCCTCGACCGCCAACAACTCAAACAAACTCCGACTTCGGCCGAGCAGTATGGTCTGATTACGGTCTGTTGTGCCGTTGTTGCACTATCACCAGAAATACTGCCCCCAGACAAGGATGATTTCACGATCCCGTCTGCTGACTTCCTGATTTCCGAAACCCTGCGTGCCAGAGAGTACTGCGATCTTGTCGGGCAGCCATCCTTGACTCATATCCAAACCTCATTCTTCCTATATGCTGCTTTCTTCGCGATGGATAAGGACAACTTGGCCTGGCATCACCTGCAAGAAGCTATAACCATGCTTCAAGCATTGCGCTTGCATGAGGAAGCAACTTACAACAACGCCGACGATCCACGCTTCATCTCGTACGCTCAACGCATGTTCTGGGTACTGTTCATCACTGAGAGAGCGTATGCACTGCAAAGGGACCGGCCAACCAGATTACAGGACGTGCTGAAACTACCCGTCGTTGACCCAACGCCCTCAGACGCTGGGATTTTGCCAGGCTTCCTCGATCTCATCTCACTTTTTCGCCCCTTTGACTCAGTTTTCATTGCGCACTGCAACTCTCCGACCTCATCAACCACAACAGACTCGGCACGTCTGTCAAACCTACAGTGCCTCCTCCAGTACTCACTACCTGATCTGTCGAATCTTTCCCAGGTTCAGCAAGCAGACCTTCTCATATCGCGTCAGTGGCTCAAGATGGTGGTATGGAAACTCTGCGCGTCAAAAAGAGTGCTCAAAGCCGCTGGTAGCGAAGATGCCATGTCGCTATATTACCCAGCCAGCATCGCGCGTGACATTGTACTCGTGTCTCATCTTGTACCAACTCAGGCTTTTGAAGCTAACGGCATTGGAATCTTAGAGAAGGTATTCGACGTCGGTTGTTCTCTTGCAGATCTTTTGTCATTGCAGCCGCTAGGAAGCCAGGCATCAACTATGGATGTTGGCGGTATTGACACGTTAATGGAAATGGTGAGGATCGTGGGGACGAGGTTCGGGGGGAATTATCGACATCTCAATATGCTAGTAGACAAGGCCAGCCGATGTTTATTTATGAATGTAGATCGAAGTCTACCTCTGCCGGTCGATGAGTGTTAAAATAATATCGACTGAGTTTCATCTCATATAAAACGCTTTACTAGTTTCGAACTATCTAGCATGCTTTCTCTCGAGCCTGACAACGACATGCGCAGCTTTACTGAACATAGCGGAGCTTTTCCCTACTGGGATAAATGAGGTAATCTTTGCAATATTGAAGTTGCATGTAATTATGGTCGCCACTGTACGAGGGTGTTTGGGAATCTCCTTCACGTGGTGGCTATCACACCCGAGTGTTTCTACACTGCTCGCTACGTCGCTATATATGAGCTTAATTCCATTCACCTCCATGGTGGCTTTGCCTACAATTAAGAAGCTATGGTCAAAGGTAGAGACTTTCAAGAAGATACTAAATATGGAAGATTTGAGTGAGGACGGCGAGAGCGCATCCTCGTCGATGTAAGATAGGGGGAATTGGAACATGGGCGCTGCAATTCCCGTCACGACGGCTGGTCTGATAGGATTATATGTAGGGCAATTGATTTAGCTGCCTTACGTCGGGAGGATTTGATTAAGAGTATTTCCCAAGCATGCTTGCTTTCAGTAAAAGCATGGAGGCAAGATCTCAATTTAGACTCGAGCATATTGATAAAAACTTAACAGTTGGATATTCTGCATATAAAGTAAATCGAAATGGAAAGCAAAAGCGATAATGCTTGATTAACAAGTCTAGCCACGATTTAGTCTGTTTTTATAGACCAAACGAGGGAAGTGATGAAGTTACAACGGGCTAGATGGAGACGGGTTTAGAAAGAGTGGCATTGTTCTTGTCCCTGCGCTTCACCAAAATCTTCACGCCCTTTGGCGGGAAAAGAAACTCAAATAGCCAGCCATTCGTGGGACTTTTGGCCTGTGTGTCAGCAAGCTTGATGTCATAGTTGAGGACAAGGTGATGTATGAGCATCTTGAGCTGGAAATCGACTAGGAACCGCCCTGGGCACGACGTACGGCCACGTCCAAAGATGAGGAGGTTCGCAGTAGAGATCAAGGCGTGCGGGCTCCAGCTGCCGCCCACCTGCTTCGCCGTCGAGTCGGCGATGGCATCAGTCTGACTGGGTTTCTGCGTTTCCTGTTGCTTCAAGTCGTCGTCTCGTAGCTTGACAAAGCGAAAGGGGTCGAAGGCGTTGGGGTTGGGGAAGTGGTTCTCGTCGGTGTACATGGGCTGGCTGACGACGGAGACTAGAGTCCCCTTGGGCAAGGCGAGGCCGGTGTCAGTGTGCACACCGTCTACCATGACCTGGCGGACCATAGCCCGGTTGGTGACGGTGTGGGTTCGCATAGTCTCACGGGCGACGCTGTCGGCAAAGAACATTTGGGCAATGTTTGCCTTTGTCCACAGTTTGCGCGGATCTCCGCCGGCAGCATCTTCAAAACGCTGCGCCTCAGCACGCAGGATCTCAACCGTGTCATACTCCTCGTCTGAATCCAGAATGTTACGCAGTGCATTGGTAGCAGCAAACCCAACTTGGTAAATGAATCCCAGGTTGGCCATGATCAGGCGCCGGTTCATGGCGTGGAGGTTCATCTCCTCGGGTCGTTTGACTGCGGCCACCCGAATCATTCGCTGGATAAGATCGATGGGGTCCTTTGACTTGTCATGGGGATTCGTCGCAACAAGGTCGAACCTTTCCTGAAGCAGTCCCCTGCAGCGCTTTTCAAGATTCTTGAGTGCGCTGTATGCGCTCAAGCGACCGATAAGAGCGCGGGCAAAGACCGGAAGGAAGCCGAGGGCGCCGGCACTAGAGACAATCATCTCGATGCTGTTGATGGCTGATTCAAGATATGCCTTGTCTCGGCCTTCCAAGTAGCAATATGGTAGTCAGCAAAGTATGACTCTCCCCCATTAAGATATGTGACCACTTACACAAGAGCCCAACAGTGAACCGTCCGCCTGATCGGTTGATGATCATGCGTGTCGTCTCCATCAGATCCACAGTCTTCCAGTTGTCTGAATCTTTTCCGAGTAGTTCATCTATGGAGAGTTCTAGCTCCTCCCTTACAGGGTCAATGAATTCCTCGAGCTCCTGGCTCAGTGCTTTGCGAGTGACATCGACGGCCCACGTGTCCAGCATGTACTTGGAATCCCCTAGACTATGGTGGAGCTGGAACATCTCGTTGAAGGCCTCCCACATGCCCAGTACGTCACTGGGCTGCGACAGTAGCCACTTGATGGATCTATGGGGGAGGAAGATCTCTTTTCGACCACCAAGAGTAGGGACGAGAACCGGAAGGCCCTTAGATGAGAACTGCCGAGTAGCATGTGTTAGATCGCTTGTGTGGTTCGTGGGCGTCTTCATAGACATACTTTGGTCCAAACTTCATGATACATGGACGAGCAATTAAAGTAATATTGCAATTTTGTTTTCGTGCTGAATGTTGATGATCCTGGCTTCTCGTGAATAAGTGAAAGGTCTTTCGGGAACCTTTTACAGTTATCCTGGGAGCCTTGAAAGCTCTGGTAAAAGCGGAGGATGGTCAAGGTTGATGCCCCGAGAGCGAAAACAATGAAATAATGTGTGTTAAGCATTCCATAGATTACTGAGGCCAACATGATAATGAAAACGGTCTGGATACGGAGATAGATTAGATGAACGAGTGCTATCGACGATGAAAAAGGCTGACAGGAGTGCCCGAGTCTCGATGGAGGAGCAAGTGGTGCACCGCACCAAGTGTGTAAATGCATATCTTACAAAATTCGGATTACTTTTATATGCTCCAAAAGCCTTGCAGATATTTCTAGGAACATCGTGATTTACTACGCCTTACACCAATCGCTCGCGCTCCTATACTGCCGCATTAGGGCCTTAGCCGTAGGATCCAGCATCAGGCTTGGTTGATTGAATCAATAGCAAAAGAGACGAATCAGGTTGGTCCATTGAAGTATGGCTGACTTGGTGTTACAGGGTAATATTATTTCTTGGCGTGCTATTCTAATGCACATAATCTCACACACACACACCCCAACTCGGTAAATGAGAACCCATTTCTTGGGTTGCAGCCCGTATGAAGTTGAGACAAAAGCGCCAATGAACTCCGCAGGGGTAATGTATTGGTTGGCTTTTGTCGGTACCACCACCTCAATTCCCTGTGCGACAAATGGAATTCATCAGTGGGAGTTTACGTGACCCCGATTTAAACAACGTAGCTGAGAAAAACATAGTTGCGACTCGCAAGCCTGTACCTAAGCTCACGTACATGCAGAACCTAGCCTATGAGATTTTAATCACAGTCGTCTAGGGAAGGCCACATTGGGTTGCCACAACGCCTCCGCGATCAGGGTTCAGCTGCTGAGAGTCTCGGACCTGGCCCTCGCGGCCCGAGTAGATGCCTGGCAGCTGGCCCCTGACCGTGTCTCACTCCCTCCCTTCCCGTCATTGGCCTTGTGTGGAACATGTGCCGTATCGGTATGCGGTGGGAGGTCTAGAACATCCCTCCTAGGCGCCAGGAGTCACGCGTCCTCTTTGTTCTCCGCCGTGCCACAGCCACGATCATCGCTTACCTGTTTACCGGCATCCTGCTGTCGGCCGGCACCCGACCACACCCTTACCGAGACCAGCAAGGCAACTCTCTTCTCCCTGCATCGACTGAGTACTGACATCGTCTTTCGTGGTGCCATAACCACCTCCTACTGCTGTCAACTGCCGTGTTGAACTTGTTCATGATCAAGGGCATGTTGTAGGCCAACATCGAGCAGTCCCTAGTCGTCATCATGGGCTCTGTGCCAAGCTTGTCTGCGCTCTTCAACATGGAGGCAGGGTTCCTCCGCAGCTGGGGTTCTTCTCTAAGCAGCCTTGTCCACTTTACAAGCTTTCAGCGGAGCTACGGCAGTGCCTCCGCAGAGGAAGACCCGATGAAAAGAGCCGGGCGGGGGGTGGCAGCGAAGATGACCTGGTCCGATTGAGTAGCCGGGAGGTACCAATGAAGTAGGGGCGGTTGCAGGATTGACTTTATCTACACATCACCCTGGTTGGTTTGTTACGACGGCCTTTATAGGAGCAACTATCCGTAAAAGTTTAGCATGCACAACTGCAACAGTGATGACTACCCGGGAATTACATAAAGTCCAGTGCACTTGATCCAACACAAGTGTCGATCTGTCTGATATGTACCCAGTTAGCAACATTCCAGCTATTACTTGAGAGCCAAACGATGTTTTCTGAATACGCGTATGCATCTTAGACTGTAATTAGATCTGACATATCTCATGGAAGGGGTAACTTGCCTGTCAGTGTCTCTATCATCTCCAAATTGTCCCTTTACCCACTCAATGGATCCGCCATCCTTCGTAGTAGGCAAAAGTTATGAGCCCGATATGTATAACATGATTTCAGATATATCTACCCAAAGGCATAATTCCCTCAAATTCTACTGCAAAACAAGAAAGAGCCACTCACATCTGTCACAAGCGTGGCGGTGTTGGCACCTTGCAATCATCTCATGATATAAGGTCTCGTGTTGGCCGGTGCCATTCTCCACTTCTATCCAATAGGAGCTATGTGCTACGCTGTGATACCAGAGTCTGCATGATTACTGCTTAGAAAAGGTAGCGGTGATCGACGTCCTATGGGGAGACAGGCGACTAGTGTGGTCAGATTGATCGTCGATTTGGGTATGAGATTCGGGTCGATGTTGGTTCTGGACATGCGTCAAGGAGTAAATGTGGGGTTTCGTTCACTTTGCAAGATGCAAAGACACTCCCTCCGCCCTGCCCTGATCCTGTTCATGCTTGCCTGTCCGTATGTGGTATTCGGTAAAGCATGCGTGTGTGTGTTACACGCCGGTAATCTCTTACCCCCCCTCCTCCGCGTCCCTCTGCCAGCCGCACTGATCAACCTGGAACCACGCACACAGATCCTTCCAGCCGACAATGGTGAGGGTGCCCAGATCCTCAATCTCCGGACATGTCTCCTAATGTGCATCTGTAATGGTCAGTGATTTGTGCGAAGACCCTGTCACTACTTACTGCCGCGTCAGTTTGGCAAATGAGCCAATCAGAGGCTGGGATACGTTGTAGACATAAGAAAGCAGTAAGATATAACATAATAACATGTATATGTGATATTTGGTGGCTTGAAATCCTATCTCTCCTGAGACAAGGCGGTAACATTTCGATAAGCTAGCGGGCAGCATCCTTTTGCAAAGGATCTTCGAACGTCGTATTTCATGTTCAGCTGCCGAAGTAGTAGCTATATGTAGAATCGGAAGGATGAGCCACTAAAAGATTAGAGAATGTGTATCAGGCACGTCAACCTCCCTCTAGTAGGCGATTCTAGTGGGCGATTCCCTCGCACTATTCGACATGCCAGATACCGAGAATCACCATTGATCCATCTTCACAACAATCCGAGTGAGCTTTCCGTGCTAAAAATCAGCCATTTACGCCAACATGGAGAAGCCAGCCTTGCACCCTGATCAACACCCATGTATGCAGATGGAAACACCGCCGAACTGGTCACAGATTGGAGTATCCTTTAGACATATCGGCTGCTATAGGTACGCTTCCATCTCACAGCGAAATCATCCCATGGTTCACTATCTTTCGCGATACCCGGATACATCCAGAATGTCATTCTACTATACCACGAGTTGCAGATATATTTTAGGCCAGCCACGGCAGCGCTGTACTATTTCTACGGAATGGGATTTGCCAGGCTAGAAAGGTCGACTCCTGACCTCGCTGACGACTCTTGAGCAATGCATCGTCCGCCGTGGTTACGAAGATCGTATGCCCAAGCGAGCCGAGGAATTCGCCCATACCTGGAAAAATAGCGAGGAACCGAGAGCCATCCGACATCAAATTGAACCAAAAGGAGTATCGGCGTCGCGGGTAATGAATCCACTTCAGGAAACCATTGTGGCCAGAGCAATCCATGAAGCAATGCTGCAGTAAGCCAACCTCTATAGTGCTGGGTCACACTCTTAAACTACGATTTAAGAGATGCTGAGAATAAATGCAAAGTAACTTATTAAGGTAAGGAGGAAAGATACATCTCAATGCAATAGCGAGAGGATTGTGAGCTGGGTGAGACCTACAAGGGTAATGTTACAAACGTAGTTGTAGGGTATCTAGCATGGTTCGTTGAGGTGGCACTATACGGGGTAGGATATATTGCCAGAGGTTCTATTATGTGTATTTATTATCATTGTATAGAGGTTGTGCTAGCTATGGTGATATATGCCTTTGATGTTAGGGTGGAGCTATAGGGTAGACTAATCCTACTCACGTGGGGTGACACGTGACTCCCCCCAACAGCATCAGCATCATATATGAAAAGGGGCAAGAGCCAAGCATTGCCCCATCCAACGATATTCAAGTCGTTGACGTATACGGCGGGAGTAGCACTCCAGGCTTTGCTGACACCCATGTCTACAGCTGGTAGACGGCTTATTTGCTTAATTACGGGCTTGTGGCGGGGCCTGTGGAGGTATTGAATTCATTCTCGCGAAGTGGAAGAAAGTATTGAGAAAACGCTTTTTCATCGGCCAGCAACACCGGGCGATCGTTGTGACTCCAAGGTAGCAAGCTCAACCGGCCGAGTACGATTAGGAAATAATTGGCACACATTTGAGGACAGAAACAAAAAGTGTAGCAGCAGGGAGGTGGTGAGAATACCAAGGAAAGACTGGAGGGGGCGTAGGATGCTTGGTTAGGGTGAGCCCATAGTAAGATGCCATAAATAACTCCATGCCCAAGAAATGGGATTAGAGGCGACTGGCACATGGGGCAGCGCTTCCAGTGAGATCACGCCCGCCGCCGCTCTAGCCGGCACCGCCATTCCTCCGCGCGAACAATCCGATCCCAGACTTGTCCTAGGAGCTCGAAGATTATGGCTAGATTGCTACAGCTATTGCAGTAGTTAGGTGTAGGCCAGGCTGTGACATTGGATGCGTCAAGCATTTCTTTGAATCCCTTCGTGACCAGTTGGTGGGCCTAGGCAATTTGAATTCCCTATGGTAAGCTACTCTTACGATGACTTGCTTGTTTCTTGAAAGACATATTTATTAGACACTGCCTAGATGAAACCCCGGCTTCAAGGGAATTACTTGCCGGATTCTGCCCCATGCCATACCGGCCAAATGTTGGGCAACCAGAATCGCGCTGCATCTTCAAATTAGAGAAAACACCTGAACTGAACCACAGAGGTGGAGAAAAAGACTGAAACATCTTTTTAGACAACTACGAGATTAAATTTCTTCCGGTGCCGGATTCCAACGAAAGGTGACTAGAATTTCTATGCTTCACTTTTTGGAATGTAGCATTATTCTTCTTATCAGGTAGACGTTCGGTGAGCATTATCCAGCACCATTAATAAACAGCATCATATCCTCGAGATATTCAATGGCTTTGCTTTGCACACATTAATCATCCTTTACTTCCAGTCATTCAATCATAGAGCACTTTCTCAGAGAAGCGAATCAAGATGAGAAAAGGCATTAATATCACCCACGCCATGTCTTGGGCAGTTGGCATGGCATCGCTACTGGCTGGCCGTGTATCAGCTGGGGAACCCGGATATGAACAGTACCCAGATATTGTTACTGTGGAGGTTACTAGTATGGTATACCTTGAATTCGGCGCGTGTTACAACCAATGTCAGCCACAGACCACTGCTCTGGAAACTTCTTGCTCCACTCCGCCCCCAGTCACTCTCACACTGCCGACTCATGCCCCCAAGGGTCGGAAAGAGACTTTGTCTCCCACATGCAGCGAATGCCATGCCACGGTTATCCACTATGAGCCGAACGACGCCGAGTTTATAACAATGACCACAAAGAAGGGCTACGGTCCGCACCCTACTGTCTCGACTGTTCACCCAGAATGTCCTGTATGTACAGGCACCGTCATCATCTGTGAGCCCGTTGAGCCAACCGCAAACGCCTACATCGGCGCTGATGGGCTCGAGACAATCGTACTTCCTGGGGCCGAGACAGATGGCCCAAGGGTGACCATACCTCCTCAACTTCCTGGAGAGCCTGCTACTGTTGTCATTGGCAAGCCAGGATTTGATAAGGACCCTTCGAAAGCTAGACTACCTGGCGCTGAGTATGGCCCCGATGGGCTCAAGACAATCATACTTCCTGGGGCCGGGCCAGATGGTCCAAGGGTGACCATACCTCCTCAACTTCCTGGAGAGCCTGCTACCGTCGTCATCGGGAAGCCAGGATTTGATAAGGACCCTTCGAAAGCTACACTACCTGGCGCTGAGTACGGCCCCGATGGGCTCAAGACAATCATACTTCCTGGGGCCGGGCCAGATGGCCCAAGGGTGACTATACCTCCTCAACTTCCTGGAGAGCCTGGTACTGTTGTCATCGGCAAGCCGGGATTTGACAAGGACCTTTCGACAGTTACACTACCTGGCGCTGATTCCGGCTCACCAACAAGGACACTCCTCCCTACAGGGCCTAGCGGCATGCCTATCCCTGGCGAGTCTCCGATTGTGGTGGTTGGGGATGGAGATGTTCCTGGGTTTGGTAACGGTAGCAAGCTTGGCCCAGATGGGGACCTTGAAGGGGGAAACAAGCCAGACACCGCTGCCCCAAGTGCAGGGGGGAACAACGGAAATGGTGGTGGTGACGGGCTTGCCGGGGCCACATCACCTTCAGGCACATCGCCTTCAAACACGTCATCGCCTTCAGACCAAGCATCTCCCTCAGACCAGACACGTCCTTCAGACCAAGCATCCCCTTCAAACCAAGAATCTCCTTCAAACCAAGCATCTCCTTCAGATCAAGCATCTCCTTCAGGTCAAGCATCTCCTTCAGATACAACATCCCCCTCAGGCACATCACCTTCGGATGCATCATCCCCTTCAAACCAAGCATCACCTTCAGACCAAGCATCGCCTTCGGACCAAGCATCTCCTTCGGACCAAGCCTCTCCTTCAGACCAAGCATCTCCTTCAGACCAAGCATCGCCTTCAGATGCAACATCCCCCTCAGGCACATCGCCTTCAGACCAGACAGCTCCTTCAAACACACCGTCGCTTCCAGATGGATCGTCACCTTCAGACACAGCATCCCCTTCAGGCACATCACCGCCTTCAGTCACAACGCCAACTACCCCTACCAGTTGCGTACCAACAAGTTCTCCCGCCCAGTCGGCTTGCGTGACGGCCCTTCCTCAAGCTTGTAGCCAAATTGAGACGCTCAAAGGGCTTGCTCTCCTACCAGCTGTTCCTTTGTGTCTTGCGGCGCTAGGTCCATTTGCTATTGGTAATGCCGCGACTTGTCTTACCACGTCTAGTATCAGTATATTTACTGCCGGAAGTGATATTATCAACTGTCTGACCAGCGCCTTTGAGGGCCAATGTATCGATACCCTCCCACAGGAGTGCCAAAACCTGAAGACCAAGACCGGCCTCGCTCTTATTCCAGACCTTGCCACATGTGCATTGAAGCTGGGCCCATTTGCAGTTGGTTCGGCTCTCACCTGCCTCGCTTCCTCTTCAATTACCGATTCTTCAACCGGCATAGGAGTCGTTACCTGCCTCCAGACGGCTCTCGGCATTTCATCGCCTGAATCGAGCAATGCGGGCGATGACTCCTGTGCCCCGAGCACCGGGGGGCAGACCTGCGTTACCCAACTGCCTCCAAGTTGCAGTAATCTTCAGACTACCAATGGGCTTGAGCTCATTGTGGCCATTCCAACATGCATTGCTTCTCTCGGTATATATGGTGTAGGTAACGCGGCGCAGTGCTTAGCCACCACCTCTATCTCAGTCAGCTCAGTGGGCGGTGATATCATCGGTTGTCTCCTGAATGCTTTCAAGGAAACATGCATTGCAGATTTGCCCCCAGCATGCTCCAACCTCGAGAATGATGATGCACTGAAGCTTATTGTGGACGTTCCGCTTTGCATCGCTGCGCTTGGTCCGTTTGCCGTCGGCGGGGCGTTAACTTGTCTCTCGACCAAGGCAGACTCTGGAAGCAGTATTGTCGACTGCCTGAAAAACGCCCTTTTCTAAGAACAAGAGGAACTGGCGCTCCTCGGCGGGAGACCTTAGCGGGGAGTTCCATGCTTAGGGCATTTGAGCAGTAGGCTTACAGGAGGAGAACTCGAATGCTGTGCAACTCTCATCAGAACAATAGGGCCAGGTTAGATAGCGGTCAACATAGTAACTCATGTTGTTAATATACTAGCAGGTGGTGAGGAAGAGCCTCTCTTCACTCAAGATCTCGAGCTGGAAAATGAGCCTTAATTGCAGACGTCTCATCTGCTAGTCGAGGTCTGAACATGTCGTCAAGTGATTAACTCAAGATGGCGTGTGATCGCTGTCGCTTGGTTAAGTTGAGAATTTAGATAATTTAATATTTGAAAACTGCGAGCAACCCCATGTCCATTTCTGCTTCCTCGTTGATAGGCGCAAGGGTGCCGACCCTATTTGATACCAGACTTAAGAGGTCGCTATCCGTCAGCCTCTTTGAACTAGCCCAATGGCCCCCTGCACGTTCGTGGTTTAGGAGAGATTGGTAACTAATGTTTAGGAAATTAAACTTTTTTATGGCTACGTTATCAAGAAGATATCAATACTTAGAGTTAAGCCGTACATATAAATTCTAACCTTTCTTCATAGAATAGGTTTACGTACAAGCTATAATTTATATTTAAACATGATTTTATATCTATTAGCAAGTTAAGTCAGGAGCTAATATTAGCTTTATTTTATTCACTGTGTTGAGATGGCGGGTACGGCATCTTCTATTGTTGTTTTCAACTATATACTCGAACTCTCTCCCGTATTAGCTTTATTTATTTCCTTCTAATAAGGGGTGATTATCTTTCGGGAATGACTGTTGCGACGATACCCCACACTGTGATATGATGTTCCGCTGGCGAATTCCGTGAGAAAAACGGAGCAAATCTTCCCTATTTATAATATTCACAAACTCAGTTGCATGAATTTAGACATAAGTCTGATCAGAGCCTGCGCATTGCCTGGAATACATATAGGAATATTGCAGTGGCCGAATCTGACGTTTGGAATATGCCTTCGCTGATCCTACCCCACAACACCGCAGCTGAAATGTGGATGGCGGCCTGTCTGTGAGCCCGCAAGGCAGTTTTACATAATCTCAGCTGAAGCTCGGCTGACTCTGAAATCCCTCTTCTCCAAGTATGTATCAAACAACGACGCTCCAGCGTTGTGACCAAACTAGAGACGGAATCACACAGATACTCATGGTCAGATCAGCTGGCTCATATCAATGGACCCTCTCAGCACTACCGCCAGTGTCATCGCCGTTCTCCAGCTGACTTCCAAGATAGTCCAGTACCTCAACTCAGCCTCAGGTGCCGCAAAAGAACGAAAAACTCTTCGCGATGAGCTACGGGCATGTGAGCGCGTCCTGGAGCAGCTCAAAGATAGGTGCGACGAAGAAGGCGGCGACACGGAATGGAACAACACTATTAAGGTGCTTGAAGGCCCGGATGGCCCGCTGGGCCGCCTTTGGGTTATGCTACGACAAATGGAAGGCAGGCTTCGGAGAAGAGATGGCCCAGCGGAGAGGTTGATCGCGGCAGTGAAATGGCCATTTATCCAGAAAGAAGTCAAGGAAATATTCGGAGCGATGGATCGGGAAAAATCGCTTCTGACGCTGGCTCTCAACGGTATCTCAGGGAGGCTGGTTCAGGAAATAAAGCGCACTGTCACTCAAAACCGCGAGGGTCTCAAGACCCTAGTCAACACATTGAACGCCCACTCAGATCAATCCCGTAGTCAACTGTCGGGATTACAGGACGGAGTAGATCGGATTCAAGCGGCGCAGTCAAGTTTACAAGAGAATCTGGTTCAGTTCCATCGGTCTCAAGAGGAAAAGGAGCTCGATAAAGAGTGGAGTGCTATTCTGGAATGGCTACCGACACTCGCATATTCTACCCAGCATCGGGATATCATAGATCAGAGACAGCCTGGAACTGGACAGTGGATTTTGAAATCCCCAAACTTCAAGACGTGGTTTGAAATCCAAGGCCAGACTCTATTCTGTCCGGGCATCCCTGGTGCAGGCAAAACAGTTCTAGCTGCCTCCGTGATCGAGCATCTCATGTCACAAGCTCCAGATGATAGTGGGATAGGTGTCGCGTACTTGTATTTCAGCTATCAGAGGCAGGGCGAACACAACTTGAGCAACATCTTTGGGTGTCTTTTGAACCAGCTGAGCGCCAGTCGACCTACGCCTCCAGAATCTCTCCAATGTCTTTACAAGAAGCATGCCAAACAGAGAACACAGCCATGCCTTGCGGAGATTTTGAATGCTCTGTATTCTGTTTCAGCTGAATATTCCCGCGTGTTTGTCGTGATCGACGCAGTCGATGAGTACCAAATATCGAGCGGGCACCAACGCCAGTTCGTTGAAAAAGTTATCGACTACCAGAAGAAGTGCGATATCAATCTTTTCGTGACCTCGCGATTCATACCTGAGATTGTGCGGTCGTTTGAAGGGGCCATGTCGTTAGAAATTCGGGCGACTGAAAGCGACATACAAACCTACCTTGAGAATCAAATGTGGCAGCTCCCAGCATTCGTGCAGAAAAGTCCAGATTTACAAAAGGATATCGTTATTGAGATCTCTAGGGCTGTTCAAGGAATGTTAGTGCGACAAGTTATTTAACAAATTGTAAAGTTCTAACGGCCTCGCTAGGTTTCTGCTCGCACATCTACATCTTCAATCTCTACGAAGCAAGAAGTCTCCCAAGGCTGTCCGCAACGCCCTTGAGAAGCTCCCAACTGGCAGTAATGCATATGATGTTGCGTATGGCGAAGCGATGGAGCGAATAGGCTGCCAGAACGACGACCAAAAGCAACTTGCCAATGAGGTTCTCCAATGGGTAACTCTTGCGACTAGGCCCTTGACCACCTCTGAAATCCAGCACGCAATTGCGATCGAAATAGGGGAAGCACGTTTCGACACTGACAACATAACGGAAATCCCTGACATGCTCTCCGTGTGCGCAGGGCTGGTGACAGTAGACGAAGGGAGTGACATCATGAGATTAGTCCATTACACGGCCCAGGAGTACTTCAATAGGACGTCCGAGAAATGGTTCCATAACGCCCAAGAGAGAATTCTCAAGGCTTGTATCACATGCCTTTGTTACGAAAACATTGAATGCCCTCCAACCGAAAGCATATACCTCGACAATGGGCTCCTTGACCGAGGTTGCATGTTCTACATCTACGCGGCGAGATGCTGGGGGCTCCATGCTCAGCATTTGAAGACACCGCCTCAGGCCGTGCTGCGTTTTCTGAGACAGAAGGTAAATGTTGAGGCATCTTTCATGGCCATTTTCTCGCCCGCCTCGTCGCTGATGAGAACGGATCGCAAAATCCTCCTGGACGTTCAACGGCTCGTAACTGGTCTTCATTTAGCGATTCGCTTCAAGTTGACATCTACTGTCAAGATGTTGTTGGGCGAAGGTGGTCCAAATTTGGATGCAAAGTCCTCCTTCAGGATTGACCCTGATGCTCGAGATTGGTATTTGCAGACGCCGTTGACATGGGCCGCCCAAGCTGGGCAAGAAGAAATCGTCAAGATCTTACTCTCAGAGCCCAGTGTCAATCCGAATTCCAGAGACAGGATAAATCAGACACCATTATTAGTCGCCGCAAAAGGTGGATTCGTAGGAGTTGTCAAGCTTCTACTGTCGACGAAAGGTATTGAGCCTGACGTGAAAGATGTTGACGACCAAACGCCATTGGCATGGGCAGCGGCAGGTGGGGAAGATGAAGTTGTCAAACTTTTGGTTTCCGCTCCGGGTGTGGATGTCGAATCGAGAGATTGGTCGAATGGAACTCCCCTGACGCTGGCAGCCTTTGCTAATCATGTAAAGACTATGAAGATACTGCTTTCCCTGCCAGGCGTCGATCCCAACTCAAGGGACAAAGACGAGCGAACACCGCTTGCTTGGGCTGCTAACAACGGAATGAGGGCGGCCGTGGAAATGCTCCTGGCAACACCAGGCGTGGAAATTTCCCCAAAGGACAAGGCAGATCAAACGCCGGTGTTATTAGCCGCCAGGAATGGTCATCGAGAGATTGTTGAGATGCTGATGGTTGCAATACAAGGTCAAAAATCTATCAAAACTGATTCCAGAAACTAGAAGTCGGATGATTAGACATAGACGCGGCAGCAGGGCATTCGCTTCGAGACTCAACTCAAGCCGGGTGTCAATTTGATAACTAGTATGGAAACATTTATACGGTGGGGGTGGGGGTGAAGGTTTCGCTGTACGTCGAGGAGACTTATAGATACATCCATGGAACTTCCAGCATGCCCAGTATCAGAAGTGCTATCATGTCTCAAAGCCAGGACCAGTTGAAATTGCCCCGATCCCGGATGAAAAAAGGCACCCATGCCATCCCACTCACCGCAGACTCCACAAAGTACAAGGAATACAGCCGGATATCATACGTGGTCGACGCGGACCGCAGCCCGTAATTGAGGTCAGTGCATGATGACAATGATGATAGTGTTTAACGTTGCTGCGTCGCTTGAAATGAAGACAGCTTCTAGCCACGGCTACATGCACATAGTTTCAGGGAAATGGCTTGTTACAGAGACTGCGTTGGTGAGCGGAGTCCCAGGCAGGTGTCAAATGCCAAGAGTGCCGTGTAGATTGATCGGCGAGGTCACTGGATTACCAGACAACGTGCCTGCGTTTGTCTTCTTTCATCGCTTTCTCCTAGCGAAATCCACTCACATTGATATTTATTTCTCCACTCACTCTTTTGGAAGCCCAGTTTCCGCGGGATTCACGACAATCCTAGCTTGTTGTATTGGAGCTGCCGTACAAAGCAGGGTCGTCCGAGCTCCCTCCTCGATTTAAGTCTCTTTCCATGTTCCTGGTGACAGTTCTGCACATAACGTAAGGGAATGAGGCAAACATTCTTTCTTCTAAACCGTTAAGACAAAGCTGAATTTTGTCAATCAATCAATCAATCATTCTCACTCGAACTTTGAAAGCGAGCGATTCATTGTGCGAGGAGCATTAGTGAAAAGTAACTTACATTGTTTTTTTCCTTTATGCTATGTTCGTTTACTAGCGTATGTGAAATGAGTAGTAGATCCTAGGGTTGGAGACGGCGTTTGAAGTCTCCTTTATTAGTTCTATTGATATATAAAGTCGTTCAGAGTCATTGTATGGTTATAAGATGATAAAGAAGGACAAACAGGCTACTGATGAATTCAACAATGCACAGTCTGAATGAAGAATATAATGCGCATCTTTTATCCCAGTTCATATAAAGGGACATAAAAATCATAAATTAGAAGCAAATCTTCCAGATATTAAGTTTCTTCATTCATAATACTATCAAATCCCATCGACATCGCGAAGGTGGCATAAAAATCATAAAGGTTTTGGCACTTTGGCAATCAACAATGGATGCAACCCATCCAAAGTCAATTTTGGAGTTGCTCACCCATCCGAATCCAGCAACAATCCATAGGAACCTTCAAAGCGGTGGTAATACGTCGCATCAAGACTGGTATATCCCAAAGCGCATTATAAAGTGGACTGACTTCCAGGACCTTCAAATCTTGAAGCAGTCTTTCAACGGCCGGCTATACGAGGAAGCCTGCCGTGAACGGGAAGGCTTTCGATGCTTCCCTGAGATATTTGATGAGGAGAAGATCATTTTAAGTGAGACAGAAGTCAGAGACTTGATTGTACGATGGGTTAAAGCCAATGCTTTAGCTGGCCACAAACCTATCGCAGAGGAGTTTCATCCACTGCTCTGGGCCAAAGGGGACCGACCGGACGCGAAGAATGCCATGCCCCCTTTGTCACCGCCAAAACCTAAAAGGGTTATGCAAGAGCGACGAGTTAGTATGGAAGCCAAAAGGCGTAGGACCGGTCATGGCCGCGTTGGCATTCCGGACTCAGGTGCGATCTCGCCGATCACGAACGATTCGGAATCAGGAAATACGCAAAACTCTAGAAAAGAGAAGTTCCCGATTGAAATTAAGGTAGGTTCGAAGTGGAAAAGCGACTGCTTGACAACGTTGCTTGACAAAAACGGGGCGTGGAAGAAACGGAGAGACAAACAAAACAACGCCATGCCAATCAGGCAAGCTTTTACTTATTGTGTCCAAAACATGTGTCGGTATGGATGCATCTTTACTGACAGAGAACTTTTTCTTTTCCAAATTAGCGCCTTCGATGGGAAACCAGGTGAGTTTCAACATCCACTGAGTGGTCGGAAGGAAGATAGCTAAAGGATTTCATCTTTAGAAAATGTCGAAAACCTGAAAGACTACATGCGAGAAAATGGGAAAATGGAATACGCCGCAATACCATATAAGAACCACTGTCTTGAAAACTTTGAAGATTTTGACACCTGGACGGTCAACTTGGCAATTTGGTTTATGCTCATCCTCGCGGCACAATCCCACGAGCTGGGGTGGTCTTATCGATCCTTGAGAGATTTTCCAGTGGGCAGCACAGATTTCAAGGGTCCTTCCGCGATAAATAGAGAAATATCGAGAGGATCTAATGGCATTGCTCGCCAGGAGGTGGAAGAGCGTGAGGAAGGTGAGGTGGACGAAAATGGGGATGGCGTGGGGGTTGTTTCTGGCTCTAACGACTCTGAGGGGACTATTTCTGGCTCTGAAACCTCTAAGGGGACTGGTGCTGGCTCTGAAGACCTCGATACGACCGAGCTTGATCCCACGGTCTCCGGAACAAAGCTTAAAAGTAGTCAAAGGAGGACGAAGAAGAGGAAGCACAAGAGATAAATCAGGCGACTCCTTGGCACCCTACGGCCAAAGGGTATCGTCGTCTGTGGTCGACTTTCTTTGTGTATGTTCCATCAAGAGTTTGTTTATTTTTGCTCTCTTTATTTGACAATTGTACGCACGTCCATTAGTAAGGGAGAAAGAAATTTTTAGCACATTTGATAATTGTCGCGCCAGAAAAAGGTCCGAGTCAGGTACTATCTCGAGCAAAGGACGACATAGGGCCAATTCGCCCTATTCAAACAATGAATCATTCTATTCCGGGACCGCGATTTATTTTAGTGACGGCCTGTGTCCTAAAATTAGGTTCATTGAATTCTCCTCTCTCAGATGCTTCATGAATGGTATAGCCTAAGGAGGCACGGCGCCTCTATAAAGATGTCAATGGTCGTCGATCAGACACAGAAAAGAAAACTGGTTCAATTACATCAGGCTATTCAAAGCTGCCACGAACGCCCAATAATGTCTCAGTGGGACAAGAGCAAAACACTTCCCAAGGAGCTGCCACTGTGGCCTGGCCCAAAGCTCAACTTGTTTAAACATCATGATTCGCCGATTGAATGGATTGAGCGATTAGGGGAGTATGATTGGAGACCTCCATACGAAGGCTACGTGTTCCGAGCAAGAATTAGAAACCGGGAGTATGCGATTAAGGTGGTGAGTGATTCAACATTTACTAGCTCCCCAGTGCCAAAGCTTAGATACTCATGACTATGCCATTGCATTTCAGTTCAGGTTCTTCGACCCGACTGCGAATCCAGAGCACTATAGGTTGATACTAGCCGATCCCACTCTGGATAACATTGCCCATTACGATGACCCATTCTATAACGAATGTAGAGCTTACGGCCGGATCAATGAATATATTAAGAAGAAAAAGTCGCCGTCGCTGTCCAATATTGCCGCCCCGTGTCATGGCTTCTTCTTCCTCAGGCCCAGGGACACTCATGAATTGGAGAGGGACTATCACCTTAACGTAGGTTACGGTGAAATCAACGTGGATTATCAGGACAGCACCGTTGGGGGACTTAGGCCCAGGGCCATTGTCAAGGACCTTGCGCCGGACCTATATGAATATTGGGATGGGAAAATGCTGAATACAATGCTCCGCGGAATCCTACGCCTCAACCGGCATGGCATCCTCAACCGCGACATAAAGGCGGATAACTACGTAGGCACACAACTCGTGGATTTTGGCAGGGCAGCGACAATGCCGGATCTCATCTTCGACCATCTCCCTAATTGGCAAAAACCAAGCGAACTGCACGTGGATCTGATTAGATTTCACGAGATGGTCGAAAATTTATTTAATGATAATTTCATCACAGCCGAGGACGTGCGGGCAATAAGGCACCCCATGGCGCGCCGGTCAGACCCGGACACCTCCTCTGGGGACCTTTTGAAGCTTCTAGAGGACAATCAGGACGACCAAGACGACGGAGGCAGCACAGAGGACTGAAGGAATCAAGATCAGCTTTGCGACGAGTGTATGCCAATTTGGCGAGTTGTTGACTTTTTGTTAGTGGATTTCGTCCGAAATACTTGTTTTTACCCGCAGGAAGCGGCATTGGCTGCGAGACGAAGTGTGAGGTTACGATCAATGTTTTTGAAATTAGAATTAAAGTAACAAGTATCAATATTTATTCTGTATGTATGTGTAAATTTGTTTATTCTCCTTATTAATATCGATAACACGTCGAGTGTACGCTTTAATTTTTTTTTTTAGCTTGTGACCGTGGAAGGTGGCCAAGTCGCATGTGGCGGAACAAATGTTTCCTTCAAGCTATTTGGCTGTTCATCTTTCTCCTTGCTTTCACAGACAGCATGTATGATGTCGATAGACCTCCTTTCCGCTGCTGATAGACATCAACTTGTACAGTCCCGGATCTCGTTCAAGAGGAAGATAATAACTCGTCAGCCAGCAGGCGTTCCAAACAAGCCTTTTTATAGCCAGGAAATGCTTGTTAATAAATGAGAATTCTTTGGCTAACAAACAAAGATACGTGGATGCCGCACACGGCTAACATCAATATATCGATTTTGACTCACTTCGGGGAAATATTTTGTGTCTCGGTTTTGCACCTGGATATATAACTACTTGCGTGTCCCTCAAATGGGAGGAGCTCTTAAGAGGACTTTCCGCCTACCGCCTTCCTTATAGTTCAGATATTTACTATTTCATACAATGATAGCTGGATCGAAGGCGTGCACTTCACTTGGGTGCCACTTTGCAGCTGTCTCTGCGGAGCTTCAACTAGAGGCCTAGCCACGAGGGCTCACTAGGTTTAGGCATTCGGCCAGATCCTCGCCTTATATGTGTGACTGACGATACTCCTAGGTCGTCACAGAGTTGGCGGAATAAATCATCACCAGTAAGTTTGGAATTATTTGCCTAGGAAGGGACCTCTTTGTAAACGTTGGAAAGGTCATGCCTTTCTACCCAATGTACCCATGTGGGATTTCATATCCAAGATAAATGAATTCTGTCAACCCTAGATAAGTGAGCTGGGCGCATACTCCTAATCTTCCCTTTAAAGGCACATATTTCTGCAGGGTCTTACGGTATTTTCCTAACAGCGATGCTATTACTTTATAGAAAATTTCAACATATTGAGAATTTGAGATCCCCGAAGAAGTTCTGGAAGAGTAGGAATGTGTGCCTTACGAGACTGTAAAGGCTGAAGCACAAGCTCACTGGCGGACTTTTGCATACAACGGAAGCTGAATGAATCAATAGCTAATGTGTTTGCAGTATCACCCATTTGACCTTATTATTCGCATTGGACCTGGCTTTTAGACTTTGCTCTTAGACATATTCTTGGTCTACAAGGTGATTGTCGATCATCGCCCCCTTTGGCCCTAAGACGAGGCTTGGACTCAGAATGCTCCAAACTGCTTTTGATTAAGGTATTCGTTGCTGCTAGAACGTCGGAGGATGTCACTAGCTAGGTAGGTTGTGTCCGAAATGTCTCCGAAATGTCACCTTTAGCATACATAAAACAGTTTGACACGCCCGCAGTCAAAATTTAGAGTCAGACGGCGCATCTAAATTTCTGCAACATTATACACCTTCACCATAAAATACCAGGCAAAACACGGTAGCGAGCAGAAATGACTCGAGATATACTCATTGTTGGAGCTACTGGCCAACAAGGCAAGGCAACCATCGACGCTCTCTACCGGGCCAAGAAGTTGTCGCCAGCTCATCACTTTCGAATACTGGCCTTAACACGGTCCACGGCGTCATCAAAAGCACAAGCACTTAAAGCGACATATCCCGATATCATCCTTGTCCAAGGCGACACCCAGGCACCAGAGCACATCTTCAAGGCTTATCCATCCATCTCATCAATTTTCCTAGTCACCGTCCCTCCAGATGACGAAGCCCAGGCCCTCCCGCTCATACAAGCAGCCGTCTCAAGCCCGCAGTTTGACCACTTTGTCTTCTCTAGCGTTGATCGAGGAGGCGACAGTGCGAGCTGGTCCCAGCCAACGCAAGTACCCCACTTTGCTGCCAAACATCGTGTCGAGCTCAACCTCCGCCAGGCGTGCTGCGATGCGTCTAAGCGGTGGACGGTGCTAAGGCCGACTGGCTTCATGGATAGCTACAACCCGGGATTCTTCGGACAACTCATGGTATCTCTGTGGGCGGCGGGCATGCCAGCGGACCGCAAGATGCAGATGGTGAGCACCCATGACATTGGGAAATTCGCGGCCAAGGCGCTATTGGACCCTGAGGGATGGACCGGAAGGGCTGTCGCGCTGGCTGGCGATGAGCTAAGCTTAACAGAGCTGCGGGATGCGTTCCAGAGGACGGTAGGCAAGACGCTGCCAGAGACATACAAAGTTGTAGCGTATCCTGTGTTATGGATGGTAGCCGACGCCGCCAAGAGCTTTGATTGGTTTAGGAGCGAAGGATGGGACGCCGATATAACTGGCCTAAGGAAGGAGGTGCCGGAGTTGCAAGACTTTGAGACATGGCTTCGGGAATCGAGCAGGTGGGAGTGTATCGACAGCGGTAGATAGTAAACACAGCAGAGCAGGAAATACAGATATGGCTTATAAGAAGTGCTTCGGCATAAGCAAATAGCAGTGACGTACGGTGATCCCCTAACCATTCGACAGAGATACCTGCACTAGGGCTATAGTAACTCATCAGTCTGTCAATTTCAGTCCTTACCTCAAAAACATAGCCTCCCTTAAAGAGTAACTTGGCCAAACAAACAGACTAGAGGAGTCAAAAGCTCGTAGGTAGTGGCAAGATACAGTGGCAAAACTCCCAAAGTATCTGAATGAAATTGGGTTGAGAGCTGTGTGCTACTTGTGCCCCGTAAAAATGGTTTCCGCCGAGATGTGCTTTGGTTTGATCTGACCCTAAAATTGTCTACTTAGGTATAATGTTGTTTCAGGCGTCTTAAATTCATAACTAAGCTAGAGTGTATATAGAAAGAAACCCGAGTTTAAAGTCTATTGGAAGAGTTAGGCAAGGACTTTTAACTCTAATACGGCGATTTTAGTTTTAGAAAAGTGACCTCAAGTGCTCAAGTACAAGTGGTTTCCATTCTGCAATCAACGTCATCTTATCCTCTGCTCCTTTGATACACCAATGCCCTATAGCCTCGCCAAGCATCGGATCCAGTCGATTCAGGTGTATCAGTGGTTCTTTTGTTTTTGACAACATTGACATCTTACACATGACACTAATCTGTCTCTGGCCATCCATTGTCTTAACTTCCTGCTCAGCAGCGGCATGTTCGATTAACTCCGCCATGGGTCGGTTCCACGAGTCTCGGTCGAGAGGCAGATTGACTTCTAACATAGTGGGATCTAAAACCTGAGAGAGTTTTTGTGCGGGGTTGGTCGAGACAAAGACCGTGTAGAGCAACATATGTAGCTTGAACTGAAATAAGCCAATTCTATACCCAAATGTTAACAAATACCCACTATACTGTCACTTCGCACACCACGAGACCCACGCCTACATGTGGCCCCGAATGTAGGAAGGGGGGGGATGCTGCACCTCTGATAGGATTGTCGTAAGAGGAAGGTTTCTGCTTCAGACAGGAAAGGTTGAGATTCTGCGTCAATTCTAGACTGACTATACAACCCGGAAAGTTTGCAGAGCTGTACTAGCATCGAGTGAGTCATAAGAGCATAAGACAACCCATCCTTGCCGATACATGGGAACATAGCAAGTATTATAAGGACAGTCTGAAAAAAAGGCAAAAACTTGCTGTCCGGTGCAAAGGATTGATCCCCCTCATGCGCTTTGCCTATCAACATGAGCTAGGATACTGAAATTAGTTGTTTAGAACCTCATCGTCTCATTTTGAAAAGGGACATGGCATTCTCACAACTTCATTAGAGGCCTGCACAAGAAGCTTTTTATACAGGCCTCGTACGAGGATTTGTTTTTCAGGCATCTGGCTCAGCCAAATCCCGATGATAGTCACGGCCTGTAGCAACATTGGGGGCTGTTTTCGGTTTTGGAATGTGTGCCAATGAATGAGGGGCCAGAATGGGTGAAACCTTTCAAAGTAGAAATTCTGGAATTGGGATTGCCCCATGTTATTGTTCAAGTTCAAGGGCGTTAGTGTACAGTTGGTGTTGATAGAGGAAGCACCAATTTCCGTGTGGCTGATATTATCCTGCTGTAGGCATTGCTGATCCCCAAAGCCCTGCCCAGTTCCTGCCTGGCTCCAGATGCAGTCCTGGTTCCTCGTGATACAGGAGTAACACACAGGTTGCTGGCCGTCACACTTTCTTTTGGCATGGCGGCATGGGTTACAGGCCATCGTCACTCGGGAGGCGACCTCACCCGTGGCAGAGGGCTGGTGGGTGAGTATGTGTCTATCAAGGGTGTCCCTTCAGGAAGCAGGTCAGTCATGGTCGATTATTCATAATGTGGTTGCACGACAAAAGAAGGGTTGTAGGCTTAACTGAAACTACCTACTTTCTTGTGAATACTGTATTACATGTTGGACAGGTGAATTTCGTGTTGAGTTCATGTTCTCGAAAGTGTCGCGAAAGATGTTCCTTCCTTGCGTACGTTCTATCGCAGCCTTCTCTGTTGCACGTAAATGGCATTTTGCGGATCAGGGACAGGAGCCAGTTTCGAATATTGTTGAAAGATGCTCCGGTAGGCATTGCCGGACCCCGAGTGAATTTAACTAACCGCGGGCTCCGCGGATCGCGTCCTCCCGCCGGATGTACTGACTAATTCCTAGACTCGGCCTGTATCAGTCATCCTCAACTGGGAGTTGAAGACATAAACAATTAGGGGCTTTCCACCTTCCTCCAGCCCTTGCGCTTGCCGCTGTAAACAGCTGACCAATCGAAATGATCGTCCCACGTCATGTCTCTTGATCTGACAATGCTGTATAAGCTTAGTAAACAGCTCAAACTGATCCGGTGGGCATCAAGTCTATCCAAGAGCAGGTATAAAGATGGTTAGCAGGATAGGAAATACGTTCAACCACTCTCCTCTCAGCCATAATCGATCAGAGATCCCTAAGATTTGTCAAAGCTTTCAGATCCCCACAGTATTCATACAATGGCATCAATCAAAACCGTTGCAGTTGTTGGTGTAAGTGGCAAAATCCAGAACCAACCATATTCCCTTCATTGACTTTATGATTTCTTTTCTTCTCAACTGTAGGGAACCGGTGATCTAGGATCCATAATTGTCGAGCAACTGGTCAAATCCGGACTTTTTGAGGTCACGGTGGTTACCCGGGGCGGGAAAGGAGGTCAGATTCCAGCCGGTGTCAAAAGCATTACGGCTGACTACGAATCGGTCGACAACCTCGGTAAGGTCTTGACTGGATTTGATGCTGTTGTTTCAGCTGTCGCCGGGCACCTTTCAGACCTTCAACTCCGTCTTCTTGATGCAGCTATTATTGCTGGCGTGAAGCGATTCATCCCTTCCGAGTTCGGTTCTGATACTCGACTTCCAAAGGTGAAGGAGAGCCCCCTCACTGCCGGCAAGATTAAAGTCGATGCTGCCATTCAGGAAAAGGTTTTCAAGGGCCTGATCGAGTATACGTCCATTTTGGGTGGACCATGGATTGATTGGATGATGGGCAGTGGCTACTGCATGTCTATTCCGAAGCGTCATTTCATTATCCATGATGATGGCAACCTTAAATTTGCTCTTACAACACGAAAGGCGTTTGGCGATGCTGTTGTTGGGGCACTGAAGAACTCTGAGCATACCAGGAACAAGGTTCTAGCAATCGAGGTGATCAGACTGACACAGAACCGGATCATTGAGCTTACTAAGGAGGCGCTCCCTGGTCAGGCCATTGAACTGGTCCATGTCAACACACAGGAAAGATACCAAAAGGGGATTAAGAAGTTACTTTCGGGTCAATTTGATCCCTCGATGATTGCAGACATCGTGTGTGGGTTCGTGTTCGACCCTGAGATGAACATCTTCCAGGACGCGGAGGAGGGGAACCGTCTGCTCGGTGTGCAGAGGCTGACTGAAGCGGAATTCAAGGAGATTCTCAAATCAGGGCCCTTTGTGAATTAGGCCAGTTGCAATTACAGCTTACGGCTCTTTTGGCCAATTTGGACGCTAAAGTAGAAGTTACTTGTGTAGACTAGACTTCTTTTCGTTGAATTTACAATGATGTCATAACGGTTGATAACCAAGACGACCAGTGGGAGTTTCATAGGTGGTCCAAAACCAACGGCTGAGATATCATGGCTAAACTTATTATATGTTTACTTAAATAGAGATGGCTTCTCCTGCCAGAAAGAGAAAGGCCGATAAAGTGCAAGTCGTGGGTTTAGAAACCTACGTAGGTCGCCATCCGTTTCGTGCTGAGATATCCCTCAGCCATCAAGCCATAAGAAGAGCCTCTCCACAAAGCACTGATAACGCTACTAGAGTTATGAGTTTTCGGCTTTTAACTCTACGCAAGTGGACATCCAGCTTTAAACTGAAGGTGAGAATCGATGGGAGATAGAGATTTCTATCCGTTCCAAATCCTTCAAAGGTTTTGAAGACCCAGTGGTTTTTTTTTGAAACCTGGGGCCCAAACAGATTGCGCTGAAGGCTATTCGTCGAGATCAGACCAGCATCCAACCCTTTCTAACTATTTGAAATGATTTTTTAAAAGATATTAAAAAGATTTAGAATGCTTAATATAGAAAAGGCTCTGATTCGATTCGGAAAACCGCCAAAGTGTCATCTCAACGCAATGTACTTGACGTTCTGTGCGTCACTCAGCCGACTCTAATACTAAAGCCACAATACCGCAAAAGTCTTCTTTCGCGCGACTCGATGATGTCTACAGCAGATCGATTGTGTCCTCTGACTCCCTCGGAAACATCAGACCTCTCTATCTTAGCACCCGAGGACACGAATATTCTGCTCCTGGAACTACTTATATTTCTCCATCATGATACCAACAATAACCACTCTACTACATCATTCAAAGATAAGCTAGAGGTTGCTCGAATAGAATTGCAGAAAGTTGATAAAGTATCTTTCGACCTTTTTGCAGATCAAGTGGACATTGATACTTATGATAGTATTGCTCTACTTTTCAACACATTCACAAGCCCCCACCGTTTGAGAACAGGAAAAACGGTGAATTGATCTACCGGGGCTGAGGAGATATTGAATATTTTGTTCATTACGTTGTTTAGGCCTTAGGCCATAAAGCGCAAGAGTAGTGGTAGAATTACAATCCAAGGCGCTGTTAACATTGGTTCACGTTGCGTTGATCTACTTATCCAGTATACATCATGTCGTCGGCCTTCCTCTCACTCATGCTTGGAAGCCATGACTTGAAAATCCTCAACATCCTTGACTCCCAGAAGCGCCAGGGCAACACAAACCGCTGCACCTCCTGCAAGAAATGTTCCCGGCAGCCTACCCATATGCCCGCTGGCGACCGCGAATGCAATGCTGCAAATGTCCGCCATGTCGCATCCAAAGTTGGCCCAGAGCATTCTCTTCAGTTCTGCCCTGCCGGACAGCGTCTTATCGTCGGCGTTAAGAAGAAGATGACCCAAAGCAACACCACGAACACCGAACATTCGAACAACAGTGGCCGTTTCATTGGAAATAAAGAATCTGAATAGTCCGCAGATTAAGCGCGGGGCAAGGAGGCTTGCTGCCCCTAAGCCAATGCGTGCATAGCCGAGGGCCTGGATTGCACAGACGGCACCCTGCACAGGAGGCTCGGAGGTTGATTTGTGTGTTGTAAGATCATCCGAGAAAAGAGGCTTAGGATGGGCTTCGTTTGGATAACTTGGGGGAGCCATGTTAGAGGAGTGGTAAGTTAGTTGGAAGATCATTCAACCTGCAACGTGTAGAGGAACAAACATTTTCATGTAGAATAACTTCGGCAAGCCATGAGCTGGTGGCTTTTAAGGTATTTTGCCTGACATAAAGAGAAAGATTCAGCCTGGTGCTCAGTGCATACATAACGTTACTACAAGCGACCCACAGTCTATTCGTAAATCCGTAGTAGTGTCTGTTTAGATTCCAGGATCAGATACAAAGTTAATTTGAAAAGATAGATCTGATGGCCTGACGAGGATGGGCGGAGAAATTATTGCTCCGCTTCTCTTGTCACCTCCACACAAACATAACGTTATGTTATGAAATCCCTGCACCTTGTGAGTTCTATGCTCACAGGGGGAGCTGGAGCACAGCCGAATTTAAGTACATAAAGTTTAGAATAGAAATATTTTACGGCGGCTAAGTATACGGAGACCTATACAGTAAATAAAGTCATGGAACGGTAATTCATGGCATATGATATGTAGTACTTTTAGGGACTAATCAGGTTGAAAAAAGACCCTTAGCATTAATAACTGGTAACACCTACGAACTACCCAGGCACGGCACAGCCTTAGTCTGACCCAACCCCTTAAAGGAGTGCCCCCGCACCTTGTGAGCTCACCGTTCAATCCATCCTTCCTCAACATTTACTAAGCACACTGTGAACATAACATTATGCCTCATGAACGACGAAGAAAGACAAAGACAACAGAGATTGTACCAAGCTCAGGTGATCCGGAACGTAAGCGCGTATTAAACATCCTAGCACAAAGACGGTACCGTACGTATGCTGGGTTTATTTTATTTTCTCACTCTCACCAGATAGAAGTCGTTAACAACGTCACAGGCCAAAGACAGAGAGAGAAAATTGCAGTTTTGGAAGCCCAAGCAAAAGTTAAAGAGCTGCCGGAAACGCTTGGCCAAAATCAAGTACTGCCGCACCCTAAGGGGTACACAGAGCTAGTCTCCAGAACACGTTCAACGTCTCCGCCAAATGTTGCGATTGAAGAGATGGTGCGTAGCTCAGATGGCTTCGACCTACCAGACATAGATATCAGACAAGAGTCTCTAAACATGTCCCCCCTTCACTATTTCGGTGAGTAAAGTCGTATTCATACCCTAGTTTTTGGATATGAGTATGCTGACAGCTCAAGATACGGGTAACCTTTCCACCCCAGATCCGTTGGCAACGTCTTCCCAGTCAAGTTCGACCTCGGCATTCCAGACCACCTCTGACTTCCCACTAAGCAGTGACGCCCAGCTTCAAGTGCCGCTATTAAACGCCATGCACGCATTTTCCTCCATTGCTACATCTTTGAACCTAATGAATGTGGTCTGGGATCCTAATTATCTTCATGTTCTTTCGCCAACATCAGCATCTGATCTGCCCCTCAATCTACAACCAACACCAGCCCAGCTGACCATCTTGCATCATCCTATCCTTGACATCCTACCATGGCCTTCAGTCCGTGAAAGGCTTATATGTACACTGTCACTGCCCTCGATATGTCGGCCACCAATCGCCCAGAATGATGATCCTTGTAGTACAGGGCAAGCAAACGCCATCCAGCGGCTGATACATGATCTTGATGACCCCCAGGAGGGCATTAGGGTATATGGAAACGTAGTAGGGTGGGATAATTCTAATGAGCTTATCGAAGACGCGTGGGAAATTGGGGGTTGCCTCTATCGAAACTGGTGGTTCTGTATAGATCAGAGTGCCATGGTGATAACTGATAAGAGAAGGCGAGAACGAGGCGCCTGTCCTCTGAACTTAAATAAAGAGTAAATATAATATGACAAATATGCGATCAATATAGTTTCACCATTCCAATAATACAAAGCTATAACAGTGCTTGTCTCTGTTTAAACCCATGCTTATGAGGGGAAGGAGGGACGGAACCGGCATAATTGTTGTTTCCGGTCCCGGTTTTAGTCCGCCGGACTTCCGGCTCACCTCGTCACCCAAATCCTGCCGCCTTGACTCGTCGGTAATCTATTGTCTTCTCATCATCATCTCAGTTCCGTCACTCTGGATTACCAGCCATTCCATCCGCCGCAAGCCTACCCGGTTTCGGAGCGTTTACGATTCTTGGCTTGACTTGTGTGGTTGGTAGCACCCCGTCCACCAAGAGTCTACACCGAAACCGGCTTGTTTGTGCATAGCTTGTCCACATCACCCGTCAAGCTCGTTGAATTTGTATTTTTTGAGCGCCTGATGGATTATCCTGCCCAATCAGCGTCCCTCCGAGGCCCCGAACGCAAGGCCTGTGCGAATTGCGCCAGAGTCAAATCCAAATGTATCACCCGTTCAGAGGGCGGTGGGTGCGAGAGGTTGGTGATTGGGGAACTGCCCTGACATTCGCAGAGGCGTAAGCTAACAAGCCAGATGTCACCGCTTGAATAAATTATGTGTCCCTTCGTCGCCAACCAAACGACGCGGTCCAAAGAGCCACGGCGCATCGCGCCCAAACCCCACGTCGGCGCGACTTGAGAAGAAGCTGGATGACCTCATGTCTCTAATGAGACTCCAACAGGCTCCGATTAATCTTCCAAGCGTCTCTCCTCGGCTTCAAGAGGCCGGCCATGACGATGACGATGGCAACGAAACTTCGCCGACCTTGACGAACAATACGCCTACAGCTTTCCAGCCTGATACGTACGCCGATGAACCCTCCCTCGAAGAAGCAGAAGCTGCTTTCCGACGATTCCGTGACGAGATGGTTGTAAGTCATTACGGAATATCTTGTTTCATTATCCCATTAAGCTTACCATGCCCCAAGCCCTTATGTCCTTACGTCTGCATTCCGAATGAATGGGACGCAACAACGCTCCGACAACAATACCCATTTCTCTGGTTGAGTATCATGAGCGTAGCCTCACTCTCTACAAAAACACGATATTCTCTTGGTCGCCAAGTAAAAAATATTGTAGTTCAAAAGATCGTGGCTGACGGCACGAGGAGTGTCGACATGTTGCTTGGAGTTCTGACATTTCTTTGCTGGTAAGAACAATAATCATAACATAAAGGCTGCGCTAAATCTTAACAGGATACACCTACTTCCCATGGACAAGCTGTTTGGCTCTATGGCTTCGCAAATCGCAGTGTCCTTGATCCAGGATCTGGGTTTAAACATGACACCACCGGAATACCCGTCCAAGGTTGGGCAACTCTTGAACGGTAAAGGGTTTGGACTTTTGCCGCAAATCCGGAAAGAAAGAACTATGGAAGATCGAAGAGCCCTTATAGGAGCTTATATAATTACCTCAATGTGTGTACTAGAAGGCTGCAATGCTCATACAACTGCCCTCAAACGACTCGGCTAATAACGTCCGTAGGACATGCCACGCTTTTAGATCTGCTGATGGCCTTTCCTGGTCAACTTATCTCGACGAATGCTTAAACTACGTTTCTCAAAATAGCACTGCACCACACGATCACATTCTTATCACACAAGCGAAGATGCAACTAATGATCAACCGCCTTCGCTCGGCGTACCGTGGAAGTAGTAGTGTCCAAGTACCTACTATCTATTCCGATGCTCTCCGTGCAGAACTCGAAAGCCTTCTAACTCTTACCGATGGGGTCAGCAATATCTTTGACAATAACTGTGAGTCAATATTCAAGCTCGCTGCGGAGTCAGGCTGACATACCTTCGTAGCAGCCATGATGAGGCTCTACCATTTCAGTATGCTGCTGGTGCACGAATCTCTTCTTAATAAATCTCCATTGTCACACGACAAAGACACGCGTATATTTGAGGACTATCAGCGCGTCGTCAACTCCCTACGATCCTGGCTTGACCTGTACTTTTCGATACCGATGGACCACCTACGATTTCTGCCCTCTAGTAACTACAGTCAACTATACTACGTCACAGTGTTCATCTATCGAATCACCGCTTTGAAAGTACCTACCTGGAATTCACTCTTGAAAGAAGTAGGCGCGGAACTGGTGCCAGTCTTAGATAGAGTGATACAGAGATTTGAGCAGGCGGCGTTATCCATGCCAGATTCCGAGACAGATCAGGCTTTCCTGCTCGGCATCCATAAGTTTAGTGCGTTGAAAGCGGTCTTTAAAAGTGAATTTGGCTCCGGCATAGATGGGGAAAGCGGCATGTCTCTCTTGCCGCAAGATATCTTGATGGGCATGTCCGACGCGGACTTTTCGCCCTTCCTCATGGACCCGGCAATGTTTTCAACGATGCAGGGCATCTTCGATGATATCCCGTGGCAATGAAGTATCAGTAGCTCGGCTATAGTATGTTCTGTTATCAATAGCCGCCCCTTCAAATATCTTCGAGTTCAAACCAAGGCATCATTTTTATTGGAAATCGACGTCAAAATTAGCCCCGTTAACCCACATTCTGCCTTAGGCGCTAGAATCTAGCCAGATTTATCATGTCCAGCTTGTTTGTTTATCATCTTGCGAGCCTTCAGTCTCGTGACAGTCTCCCACACTCCGGATATGGTCACTAACTAAATATCAATATACTTTTAACGGAAGCTTTGGTGCTGTGGCTCAAATTTGCGACTTCACAACTATAGGACGAATTTGCATGGTGACCAGCCCCAAAAAATTGATCTTGCAGGCGTTTACCGGCTGGTTTGTGTGTGAAGAAAGTCTAATCTATAGGGTTATAACTGATAATTGAATATGACAGAAGTGGGATTTTCGAGCAATGGTGTTGACATGGAACATTTTAGTAACTCATTGTGAACTTGGGGAGGCATGTTGAATGCGATGCCCTGCCGACCACTCCTCTTCTAGACACCAGAGATGGTACCGTTTCTGGTGACGTTTCGGATGGTACATCCAATACTATTGTATTTCGCAGCATATGAGCCCGAGAGAACGGCCGTCAACCAATTAAGAGCTGCTGACGCACTGTTGTACGCCTCCTCGAGGTGTGAACCCACCGAGTTTCTCTCGTGCAGGATGTTGGCGCCGACTTGGCAATACCGTTCTACAAGGGCATCTGTATAGGCAACCTCACTAACTTCATCCTGAATAACCACATAGGAGAAAATTGGTATCTGTGGCACACCGTGGTAGCCCATAACTCCATCTCGATTGAGGATGTTGTGAATGATGGGCGATTGGAACGTTGCGAAACCATTTTGGAAATACTCGCCAATATCGTGGCCCGCAAAGGCAACGCCAGCCTCATCAACGCTCATCTTCAGTGCCGCAAGGAATCCAGTGCTGTTGTATGGTCCGGAAGCTTTAAGCTGAGAAGTCACATACTCCCGCGCCTCGGGGTACTGCGCGGTCAGACCAAGGAGGGAGCTTGGCACCAGACCAGCGAAGCTGCCACCTGAAACAGTTTCGTAGACGCTAGAAACATTCGGTGTTAGGCCTCCCAGAGCGGCACCGACGATCGTCTCGGATAACTCTGGCGCGTATTGAACCATAAGCTCGGAAGCCCACTCTGCAGCAAGCGCACCGCCAGAGTAGCCCCAAAGTGCGACTCGGGCTGGGGTTGTGTTCATACCTAGGCCAAGTGAAAGAACGGCACGAATCGAGTCAATGGAAGCATGCCCTGAGTTAACTCCGGCCGTGAAAGCGGCCAACGGGCCTTCGTAGTCGGGCACAGAAACGAACAGCCCCAGTGCCAAGGCAGCATCAATTTGCTGAGCATATTGAGTACCATAGAGTGTGTAGCTAGGGCTGGAGTCAAGAGAAGCAGAGTCATAGGGTATATAATAGGACAACAAGGCGGATTGGTTGAAGGCTGATTGGGCAGTACTATTCAGACCGACCTCTGGGACAAGAACGGTTGTGACGGCCCAAGTCGGTTTGTACTGACTATTGGTGGTGCGAAAAAGGACATTGTAGGCCGTAGATGTGTGACCCATTGTGTCAGTCAGGTTCCCTGGGGCATGTCGGAGCCGGAGGACTGTTCCAGGCTTCACATTTTCGTACCCAACTGGCGCGGTGTACCATGGATCTTGGCTTGGTGGGATGGGTGTTGAAGAGGCTGCGGCCAAAAGCCCCGGACAAACACTCGCCAAAACGAAAATACACTGAAACATCATTCTGAGAAGGCTATAGTGTGTTTGCTTGAAAGTATGAAGGAATAATAATTGTAGCATTGACAAGATTCACAGAGCCATGGACTGTCTGCTGGCTTTTTATCTCGAGATCCGGCTGCCTCGGTGATCTCTCTTACATGGATATATTACCTACCTAAGCCGGTCCTTTGCCTGAGCCGGATCAAGTCAGCCCGACGGCGGGATGCTTTCAGGGTCCCTCAAGGAAGAGACCATCGCCGCCGGGCATCCGGTCGTTCAACTCATCACCTACCGGGACAGAGGGAGTGGGCATCCAATTCAGCGGGGAGCAAATGGGGGAAAAAACCGAAAAGGAAAAAGAAGAAAAAATAAGACTCACAGAATTGAAATTATTGTAGGGCTAGGTTTTCATAAAACTGCTCATGATCCAATACGGAAGTCATCAGTGCAATGGCTTAGTCCTACCCTCTACCTGTACCATTAGTTCATAGCGTTCCATAGGTACCTAGTATTAATTGCCGTTACCGCTTGGGAATGTTATCTCGAGATTCCCGAGTCTGAGCATCCAGATGTCCTTCAAGTCTTTTTATATTGTCATATTGAGACATGGAAACTGTCATTCATTTTTTAATGCCGTGTACACATCATATCAATACCCACATACGGCGCGGGGTCACCTACATAGGTAATTTTGTAACCGTTCCATTAGGTACCACAGTTGCACGCTGTTGCGCCTAACACTGTCCCTGGGCGTGATCCCTACGCTAGCACTACAGGGGCATGAGCCAGACTCCGCCATCGGCTCAATTGACAATGACGTGTTTCGCTGCTGCGCGTAGAAATGCCAATTGCCCCTCCACCAAGACCAAGAAAAAACTCTTCCCAAAACACCACAACTCCTGAACAGCGACACCCAGCGACTCTGGCCGGCCAGCTTCCAATCGAACGAGACAACGCGCGAAACCAAGAATCCAAGACGGCACTACGCCCACATCCCATCAATTCACGGCTCCGACAGTAACGCATCGAAGACCAAACCCGAGACGTCGTCGCACGCAATGAGCGGAACTCCGAACGCGGCCGGCGAGTCCTCGCCATCGAACATCGCAAGCTACAAGATTGTAATACCCCGATTTGATAACTGAAGGAAGGCGCCCTTGTTGTTGACATCAACCAGATTGATAGCACGTTGCGGGAAGCCGACCAATGGGCCACGAACACCCTCTCCAGAGACACCAAAGTGGCCATGTAAGACACTATGCCAGCACCTCCAGGCCACGATGCTAATGGTGTGTAGTGCGAAGGCCCTGGACTCGTTCGCCGTTGACTACATTGAGATCACGAGCCCCTCCTTAAACGAACAAGCATTCGAGGACTCCAAGGCTATCGCTGCCTTGGGCCTGAAGGTAGGCGACACCTGTGGATCAGGACAACAAGTAACACAGTTGACATATGGCTAACCAATTGGTCAGGCCAAGGTCCATACCCGTTCGTGACGTCCCTTACAGCGACCGATTCAAACACTGACGGAAGCAGACGTGCGCTGTCATCTGGATGACGCCAAGAAAGCTGCAAGTTTTCCAACCGCAAGCCCCCATGGTGGTAAATCTGACAAATGATGGATAGGTTGATGCTGGTGTCGGAAGTGTTGCCCTTGTAATTGGAGCATCTAGCTTTTCCTCCGACGTCTCCCACGAGAAGAGCATGGAAAAGATCCAGGAATCTGCCGTGGAGGTGATTACGTACCTGAAGAGGTCAGTCGGGCTCATATTCAATGGCCTACGAATGTATTCCACTTCCATGGCGCATTGACTGACTGCTTTTTGCTGTTTAGCCAAAACGTTGAGGCACAGTTCTCGTTTGAGGACACCTTCCGCTCCGATCTTGTTGACCTGCTCAGTCTCTACCAGGCTGTTAAGGAGGCTGGCGCAGACCGGGTTGGAATTAACGACATTATGTATGTCGAACCTCGTGCTTATATCATACAGCCGATTTGCTAATCCTGAGTAGCGGCGGAACTACCCCTCGTTTGGTAGACGATAATGTGCGAACACTTCGAGGCAAGTGGCCCGGATTTCCTCTTGGTAGCATAGGAAAAGCTGACCGAACGAAAAGGCGTCATAAATGGCGATATCGAGTGTCGCTTCCACGACGAGACAGGTTTGTGTTCCTGTCTTCTTTGTGATCTGTTTCCAAGGCTGACGAATCTTAGGTTGTGCCGTTGGAAATGCGGTGACAGCCCTCGAGGCTGGTGCAACCCATATTGATACCACCGTTCTGGGAATTGGTTAGTAGTAATAGCTTTGGTGTGCTGGATGACGTCAACATGTAGCCTGGACCTAATACATGTATCTAGGCGAGCGCAATGGTCTCGTTCCCCTGGGAGCTTTCTGTAAGTGTTGCCACTTGTCATGGTAAATATTGTTGTGAGTGTACTAACGAAGACTTGAAATAGCTGCTCGTATGCTCGTCGCCGCACCAGAGTACGCCAAGGGCAAGTACAACCTGAAAGAGCTCAAGGCACTTGAAACCGTCGTCTCCGAAGCAGTCAACATCAACGTGCCGTACAACAACCCTGTAACGTAAGTACCACGTACCAGCATGATGAACGATAACTCAGAACTAACCTCCTGTCAAGTGGATTTTCCGCTTTCACTCACAAGGCGGGCATCCATGCCAAGGCCATTCTCAACAACCCTTCAGTAAGCCAATCGAAGCAGGGTACGCATATACCTAGAAGCTGACACATGCAGACCTACGAAGTCTTCGACCCGGCAGAGTACGGCATCACGCGCAATGTGGCCATTAACAGTCGCGTGTACGTTAAAGTACTCCTGATCTATTGTGAATACTTGCTGATCATATTTACAGAACCGGTTGGAATGCCGTGCGCAGCCGAGTCGACCAGCTTGGTTTAGTCATGACCGATGATGAGGTCAAGGCAGTGTAAGTGCCTTTCGCCTTGAACCAAATTATTCTAATTACTAACAAGAGCGTGACAGCACCGCCAAGATCAAGCAGACAGCCGATACGCGCCCTCTCACCATTGAGGACACAGACAACATTCTGCACTCATTCCACGCCGAGCTTCACAAAGCTTAGATGAAATTTCAATGCTGAAGTAGCATGCGGCCCAGGTGGTTTATGTCTATTGGGTAACACGGCGTTTGGAGGAAGAAAAAGTCATCCCATTTTGAAGTACATGTGGCATCAAACTTTACGACGAGAAATTTTGATTGGAATCATCTTTCTGTTTCTCATACATTCTTAGCTCACGATGCGTCTGGTGCTACTCCATACAGTATATTTATTCTCCAATGCATATATGCATATGGAAGAGAGTTCGAGTATAAAGTTAAACAACAATGGGAGATGCCAGATCAGACATCTCAACGCAATGACTACGAAACACAATACTCTATAAGTCGTAGGTTAAGTAAAGGTCAATAGATGTTCAATAATTTCTAACTGAGTGATCCAACGACGTTAAAAACTCTCGGAGTTAGCCTCGCTTGAAGATCTCCCCATATTGAGAAAATAATATTGAATGGTAGTGGTTCTCTCGGAGCTTCAGATGCCTTCCAACTTCACCCCTCGGGTTCCCTTTCACAATCCAGTAGTAGAGAGTCGAAAACCCCGCACTCATCTCGGCCATTTCCTACCATGCACTTGGACTTTAGACCGCGATGCTCACAGCAATCTCCTGAAGCTCCTCTGCATGCTTGGCCAGATCCTTGCCCCAATCTATAATTTCTTGTGTCTCCTTTCCAAGTGGGAGTCTCAAACCGATGTCTCGGTCGGCAAAGACCCCAGTCCGGTCAACGGCCTCGACGATCCGAGCCGCCGCAAGCACTGGGCTACCTCCATGAGCCTTGACCAGTTCACCGCCCGCCGCAGCTGAAAGAACCATATCAGCAATGGTACCCAGGTAGGGTTCGCTTCGAGGCACGTTCACTGCGGACAGAGCGGTATCCAGAAAACCAGTAGGCATCGAACCGGGCTCAACGAGAAGTGTTCTGATTTTGAACGGCTCGATTTCCTTGGAAAGACTCTCAGTGAACCCTATTCAAAGATCGAGTCAGCATTCTGTCTATGAAATGGTAGACAAGACCGTACCTTCGAGTGCGTGCTTGGTACAGGAGTAGGCGCTGATTCCGGGATAGCTTATGATACCGCTCACACTGCTGATGTTGACGATGGCACCGCCACCTTGCTGACGCATGATCGGTATAACGGCACGGCAGGCTCGAATAGGACCCATCACATTCACTTCCATAACCTCTCGAATCGTTTGAATGCTAGTTCTGTTAGCACATCAGATGAAGCTCCTAATTCAACGACGAGGCGAACCTAAGGTCCTCGACGGTTCCTCCGACGCCGTATCCGGCATTGTTGACGAGAACATCAATGTGACCATATTCTTTTTCAACCTTGGTGATGATTGACTCAATGTCGCTTAACATCATATCTAACTCGATCCACTTGGCTCCTGCACTTTCGAGCTCAGTGACCTGGGTGGTTGATTTAGATCCACGGCGGCCTGCAACAACAATATGGCCAGCTTTTAAAGCCGCCTTGGCAGTTTCGAACCCCAACCCGCGGGAGGCACCGGTGATCAACCAAACACTTGGAGCAGACATTTCCGAAGGTGGTTGAAAATTGACTATGTGTAGGGTAGTTGGAAGTGAAGTGAGACTTTGATGGAATAGGAGTATGAGAACTGGACTGCATGAACAAGTGAAGCACGTTGAAGAAAGAAACCCGCGTCCATTTAAATAAAATCTATGTATTCTCAATTGTAACTTTGATAGAGGCATCGCCATGCATTTCGTGATAACATCTCGCGTCACTGTCTTTCAGACTTGGGAAATGCAGGCATTTGCTGAATCTGGAAAATGCCCATTTCGGCTTAGCATCTCCTTCACACTATTCCTGAATTGATTGACGCTTATGAGACTATTCCTATAATGATTAGTGCTCACCAAGCTATTCCCAAAATGATCAATGCTCAATGCGTCTAACTAAAAGAAAACAAAGCCCAAACAGTGCTGAGTGACGTCGTGGCTTCTCCGACCATCCTGAGAGATTCAACCAAATCTCAACGCGACGAATCTGGGACTTCAAACAACAGCTGACTGCGTCTTTTGGGCAATTGAGCAACACGGCGACTATCGCACTCAAACCAGGGGGATAACCATAGAAAGAGAAATGGGTAAGCCGCTGCATTGTTCTCAATGCCACCATTTGCAGAATTTAGTAGTCGCTTTCCCGATCGTGGGCCAGCTAACAGGATTATTGAAAAAGATAGCCCGGGCAGCTTCCCATTCATTGTCAGTACTTCAGCCCAAAGACGAACACGCGCACAAAACAGGCAAATCAGAAGCCATGCAGCGAAGGCGGGTATCCCCTGCAACCGGCTGCGGAAATCGAGCTCTGGATCACCTTCGAGACGTAACCATGCCATGAGATCGGGTGATATAACTCCTGAACGCGGAAGTCAACGGGTAGTTGTGCATACCCTTAGTCCTGGCCCAGAACTGGCAGAAGTCCCAAAGCTCGCCTTTTCTGCTGCCTTGACACCCCGTCTTCTCTACAACCTCGGCAAATGTTTGTTCCACTGCTCCCTCTAAATTCTGCATCAAGAGCTCATGAGTTTTAGTTTTCTCCTTGCTATCTGCAAATATGTATCCTGAGAGATTGTGTACCGAGGCAGATAGCGAAGATGTACATTGGGTGGGAACCATGTTCTATAACCAGATGTATTTCCATGCTGTTGTTTCCGCGACCGAAGCCTTTTTCAACACACCGGGAGAAGGTAGACGTCTACTGAAATCCCAAGACCATTCTTTGATGGCAGTTCAGCTTCTGCAGAACAAAGTATCTGAGGAGAACATGACAGATTCTGCTTCAGATACGACTATCATGTCTGTTCTCTTATTAGCCGTTGCGGCGGAGATGGCTGGCGATCTACCAACGGTTGATCGTCATCTCCGGGGTCTGAAGAGAATGATTGATATGAGGGGTGGATTCCAACTATTGCAGACAGAAGTACCCGATCTGCTTGCCAAGATTTGTCGGTGCGTGTATACGGATCATGAATTTGAAGATAGAAACTGACTTCTAGCAGGATCGATCTCGCCCTTGCCGTGAGAACATGGAGAGGTCCCGTGTTTTTCCACGACTCAATTTCTTGGACCCCGTATCTGATGTCCAACTGCCGAGGAAGCGGAGAGAGTGACGCTGCCGAAACTCGCCTGGCTTCATGGATCAGCACACTAGAATACAGGCTACGGATAGTATGGGAAGACCTCGTCGAGTTTTGCTCAATGAGTAACTCGGCATCTCAAAGAAATCAGAAGATGCCTCGAAATACATTTAGCGAGATTCTGCTTTCTCTAGTATATCGATTGTTGAATCTTTCTTACGAATTAGACTCTGCAGAGGAAAGTATTCGCCTTGGCATGCTGGCATACACATCGATGATGTTCCTCCAATGGCATAACCATATGGTCGAATTTTATCACCTGCGGTGCATGCTAGGAGCGACGTTGAGGAATCTCGACAATGAAGATCCCGGGGCTTCTCTGCCAGTGAAATTATGGCTCTTCTTCACGTGGCATATGCTGCAGCCTCCAGAATGCGAGTATCGACAACTGGATATCTGGTTTGAGAGACTTCTACGTGCTGGTGGTCTGTCGGCCTGGTGTGAAGTACGGCAATTACTTCGATCAACAGCATGGATTGATCACATCAACGAGGTTGATGGGGAGAAGATATATAGCCGCACAATGAGGCGGGTATCGCAACGATAGCTTCCCTGGCTATCTCGCTGAAGATACAGCTGATTGCAACCCGTCCCAATCAACGCAGAAAATTGTGAACGGTGAATGGAATGACCACTAGTCTGCATGAGCAGAACGGCACGCCCAAACTTGCTAGACCTGGCTAAACCAACCAAGCGATCACGATGCCTCCCATCCAGGCCCCGATATGACAACCCTGCCGAGGGTCAGGATATTTTAGATCGTGCAATAAATTGCACGTGCTCAGACGATGGACGAAAAGGAGCGGAACTGATGAAAGAAAGCACTGTTTTGGGAGGGGGCATAGGGGGAAAAGAGGTACACGGTGAGATTTAGAATCATGCCTTGGATCCTCATCAATTACGGCGACACGTATCATAGATAACCAGGATGTCGATCCATGATGGTTGAAAGATGCTGGAGTGACCCGCCACTCAGAAGTCAGCACGTCTAACCCCATTCAATAGCGCCGTCAGCAGAGGTCAGATTGCCTTGGGGGCCAGATGGCATTTTGTCTAAAGTGTTTCACCATTGTTGATTTCTCCTCTTCCTCTTTCCGTTCGCGTCAACTTGATCATATCAATTGTAACGATGACCACAGCAGCGCACGTCGCGGTAGTCGGCGCAGGTGAGAACTGAACCAATACCTTTTCAATGAAAATACCGCTAATGCAGATTCAATAGGGCCTGCTGGCCTCGCCGCCATAAAATCACTGTTAGATGAAGGATTCGAGGTCACCTGCTTTGAGCAACGCGCCAACCCCGGTGGCATTTGGGCGTTCAGCGAAGACCCAACGCACACATCCGTCACGAGCCAGACCAGGGCCCAGCTGAGCAAGTTTCTTGTGGGCAATTGCTTTTGTCGCATTTACCCGCCATACGCTAACTGGTAGATGGATCATGGAAGACGCCCTTTTCGGACTTTCCTCATTCAGATGGTACGTTCATATCAGTTGAGAGGCTCCGCATAGCTGCTAACACGGCTACATGTAGATGTTCCTCGACACCCAACAGGTGCCCATCTCGGTGCTTACTATCGAGATTACGCGATTCATTACGGCCTCATAGACAAGATTCAATTTGGCGTCACTGTAGAGGCCATCAAGAGAGATGAATCACGTAAGCTGTGGCTGGTCAAGATCTCTGGGGAAGATGACCCGCGGCCTTTCGATAAGATCATATATGCTGTAGGTACCGAAACGAAAGCCAAGTTGCCTACAATCGAAGGACGAGAACAGTTTCAGGGCAAGCTGATCCATGGGCAAGCATACAAACGGTATGATAGTCGCGTTGTCTTTACCTGAGATCTGGCTAATGTAATCGTCAAAAGCCCAGAGGACTTTTCTGGCATGAACGTCATTGTCTTAGGGCAGGGCAATTCTGCAGCCGACTGCGCAGTTGTAGGACTCACCACGCCAAACGACTGCTGTGTAGGAGACAATGCTAATGCCGTTCCAGGAGCTTACAACAAAGGCATCCAAGGTGTACTTCGCTCATCGACGAGGCGCCTTGGTCATCCCGCGTATGGTGAAAGGCAAGAGGTTTGACCGATTTGCCATGTGGAAGGCCGTGGCTACATTATTCTGGGCCGAGCGCTCCTTTCCTGCTCTTCACGCCTGGATGATAAACAAAAACTTCACTGCCGCTATGCGTAGCTCATGGGGCGAGATCGAGCCCGAGTTCCGTTTCGACTGGCACCCGCGCTATGCCAGCAATGTCACCGGAGTGCTTATGAGCGACGACTTGATCCCGGCCCTGCGTGATGGACGGGTGCAGTCGACCTGGGCTCTGCGTAAGATAGTCGGGCCCAAGGCGGTGGAAATGGAGGACGGAACGGTGCTGGAGGATGTGGATGCTATTATATGCTGCACTGGGTATTCAACACCATTCGGCGTTTTTGATGAAACAGCTATCAAGTTCACCGAACCTGATCCCAACGTTCCACCACAGCCAAACCTCTACTACAACGTCATCTCACCTGAATATCCCGACAGTCTCGCATTCCTCAACTTTGCCGTCCTCTTCAGCAGTGCCTCGCTATGTCGCGAGCTAGCCTCAATGGCTATCGCTCAAATATGGGCGGGCAAGTCCTCCCTACCGCCACGAGAGGAAATGGATCGCCAGATCCGTGAGCGTCAGTCCTGGTATGTCAAGAGATGTCACAAAGAGCCCCTAGTCCAGCTCGAGGGTCTCGTGGAGCCAGACTCTTGGTTGCGCTGGGTGAATAGTACTGCCGGCACTGGTCTGTACGAGAATCTGGGCTGGACTTGGCAGGGGCTGCGGTTCTCCTTGCGCCATCCAAGAACATATCTTATGCTGGCATATGGTGTGAATACGCCTCATATGCTTCGCTACTTCGAGACTGGGAAGAGAAAGGCTTGGGATGGGGCGATGGAAGCGATTCAGCATGCAAATAAGATGAGCCGCTTGGATTTATCAAAGAAAGAAGAGAAACAGGAGTGAGGTATTAGTACGATGGGTACTGCGATATGGAATTGGTCTTGTCTTAGGTTCTGGTTATCCAGCCATCTATTGTTTGATTCTTCATCGCGAAAACTCTGCTTGTGATATAAATCCTCTTAAAAAGGATCAGGGGCAGTCATGTCGAGTTTGGTGCAAGTAGTTGGGATGTTCTATAGATTTAGATTTGTTATTAAGATGAGCCCTTAAGTTTGCCACTTCCTTTGAGCAATGTTTTCCTCGTCCAAATCTGAGGCAAGCAAAAAGAAGAAGAAAGCAATGTTAACCTAAACGGCTAGAAGCAAAGCAATTTAGGGTCACACATGATATAGCCACCTTGCCATAGTTTTGTCCCCGTCTAAATCATCTGCCCTTTGCCAACATGTGGTCGAATTACCAACCGTATCCACATTTATCACACTCCCCACAGCCGTAGCATATTTGATTCGACTTGATAAGGCCAGTAGAGTGGTCAAATACCCAGTTTGGGTCAAAGCCCGGCGCCGATTTGACCTCCTGGATGTCCGGCATGGTTACAAAATAACTATTGTGAGAAGCAGGCCGCTCGGTACTTGTTGGCGCATGGACATGAACACCATGCCGCTGCCCGGTAGCTATTGCGCGCTGAAACAGGCCCTCGGGTACCAGATTAGGCGTGCTTGGCTCGACGGTGTCAATGTCGAGATAGATTGCCTCTACGCACGGGTGTCGTTCTGATTCGATCAGTGCCACTATGGCATCGTTCAAGCCCTGACACTCGTCAAATTGGTGCCCGAAGCTCTCGCCGCGCTCTGAATCAAGTCCGTGAATAACCAAGACAGATATGCTTGGAGGAAGCGTGTTCACAAAGTGGGCAGCAAGTCTTTCAGCCTTGAGGTTGTCCATGCCTCCAGCCAATGACGAGCACGCATCAATAATGATATCATTCCATCTGACATTCAACACTTTGAGGTTGTTCAAACCTGTCAAATTAGAGGGGGTATACACAGCAGTTGGGATCACATCAATTTCATCGTGCTCTGAGTATAAGAGTAATCTTTGAAGAGACGCGGATTGATGTTGAGACAGAACACGTATCATCTCATCCGTCTTCGCAAGGCGCTCTTCCTTTGCACAGATAGTGATAGACTCGAGATTCTTGGGCGTTTTCAGCAAGGCAGTCATGAAGTCCCCAGTCCCATCATAGTCTATTAGGTTATCAAGGACGATGTGTTTGACTGATGAAGAATGAACCGGGAGCGAAAGGTGGGCTCGCAGAATGCGGGCTCTCTCTTGGGGCCTTTCAGATTCGTCAATGTCTGGAAGATGCCAGAAGAGATCGTCCTCATCGTCAGAATCGAGAAAATCATCATAGTTGAGATCCTCCCTATCAATTCTCATGCCGCGAAGATAGATTTCATCAAGGTTAGGCAGTTGCAGGAGTCTGACAAGCACGCTGGTGCCAGTCGACGATGGCCTATTAGAGAGGGAGACTCCGACTGCGAGCTTTTGGAGCGAGAGGAGACCAGGAGGCCAGTCACCCACGTCCAAAGCCCACTCAATACCTCTGCAAAACGAAACAATATTCGTCGAAGAAGAGTAATCGGCGTTGACGTACTTGAGGACCTTCAGATACGGCAAGGCAGAGACGAGGATGATCTTCAACACCGCGTCAGATCCAGACAGGGTAGACGACCTGGCGTACTCTAAACCTGACTCGGGGATAATCCTGCGCTTCCTTGCCTCCTCAATGTAATATCTCACGCGTCTCTTCCATCGCCGAACCTCAGGTGGTGATGCCGAATCTTCTGAACTCTCAGTTTCTGATGCTTCACATCCCGAGGCATACGGGGCGGACTCAGTTTCAGTCGCCGTGGAAGCATTCAGACCGGTCGACGGATCAACCTCCCACAGGTGCCAATCGTCCCATCGCCTGCGGGTTCCAAAGAACTCGAGGTAGCGCATGTGCCATAACTCAATCGAGTGCGAGGGATCCTCACAGCGGAAAACGACGTCCAACATATTTGGAACGGTAGAGGGCAAGAGATCCGACGCAGCGCCGTACTTTCTGTGCGCCGCTTGGTGTTGCTCCAGAAGAGATGCCATCTGGCTGTACATGGCTTTGCATGTCTGTGCCAGAGGAAAATGGGAGGCGAGGCCTGCATATCCGACAATGATGTCCAGGATCTCGACGGGCAGAGTTTGAAACCCAACCGTAGACGTCATTTTTGTGCTCTCCCAAGCTGGCTGTGCTTTAGATGATCCTGGCATGATTGATGCTGATGAAGGTGGGGTGTCGGAAGAGCATTGCGTTGAGGGGTAAAACAGAAAGCTCGTTGTTATTTTCGTGTGCGGCTGAGAGCCAATAGTCATGCAAACTAGAAGAGCTCATCCAATAAACACGCGAAGAGAAACACACCCTCGACCCTGCGCTTAGAACAAGCGTAGGCAGCAGCAATTGAGACGGACCTGTAGTCGGGATGAATTTATTTCCAACCAAAAATCGGCATTCATTGTCGGATATCTGACCCAAAGTTCTCCAAGCTGTGAACTTGATCGTTGGTTCTGTGAAGGGGGTGAAGTATACAATGAAGCATATTCTCATGCTCACGGCAGTTGATCTCAGCCTCAAAGCATCGAACAGCAACTTCAAATCTTAAACCTTATGTCTACAGTGTATCTGATATCGCATTAAGCCCTGAAGATGATGCTCTCGTCTGCTGCCCTCGGATAGTCCAAGACTATAGGCTTCATCGGCTGCTCCATGGCCGAGAATGTGGCCCAGGGCTACGTCGCCGCGATCATTGATGCATGAAATTCGGACCCGCAAAGGGTAAGCACTCGCTTAGGCAGTCTGGCTCTCTATATAAACTTATTGTTAGCTACATATTCCCCGCCCCCTCATCTCTCTCTTCTTCCTTCTTCACGATCACATACAATATCGTCTATCTCTCTCTAAGCTGTAGGATCTGGACTGGCCCTTTGTATCGACCTTGCTCAGCTACGCTAGAGACTGTCATTGGTTCCTCCATCTCCTACCACTGTTAAATTCATCTCCGAGGCTTATAGGTCCAACAAGATGCCAGAGATCAACTTCTACGACCCTGTTTGCGCTGTGTCCGAGGCTCGCCAGAAAGAAGCGACCAAAGCGCTAAATAAGGCCGTGGACCAAGCCGATCTAGAAAGATACCCTTACATCGACATTGTGTATGCCTCTCCCGCGACTCTTTATGGACTTGGTGCTGACCGTAGCTCTCTTCTAGTTTTGGTGACGGCGGTTTATTCACTTACCGCTGTTACTCTGATTCGGAGAAGAAGATCGGCCAGCAGGGTCCTTCAGGCGCGTGCAAGATTTAATAGGTAGTCCAAATTTCAGCGGTCCAGTTGCAGCAATGTTATACGATGAAACACTGTGAATGCCAGCCAACCGGGAACTAAAGGTAAAGTCCCGCCCGCTAGATGCTCCGTAAGCTGGCTTGATTGTAGCCGCGCACTTTCAGAAGTACGAATAGCAATCGTCCACGGCGTCAAAGGAATATCGCAGTCTCCGATATGCGGCATTACTTTTCGACAGGGCAGTGGGCATGAATTGTCTGTAGGGCCGGACAATTTCCCACTGAGTGAGACTCATGGATCTGAGTTGACGATGGTCTGTCAAGGAAATGGAGAGGAAGCCTCCCATCACTATCACCACCAATCTTGGAAGGTTGGATACAAGAGACTCACAAGTGTTCGGATCTGGCGTTCTGATACGATGATGTTGAGCGCCATACAATTTGTCGCAGAGGGGCAGACCGAGGGTCCTATCTGGGGTTCTTGGGGGTTTGATACAACGAAATCTGATGCAATCGAGCTTGGCTTCGTAGGAGGAGGTAGCGGGCAAGACCGGGCTGTTGGACTAAAGTTATTCTGTCAAGCTTATCAAAACGAAGGCCCAATGCATGACGTTGCCATTGTGGCTATCCAGGCACTGACTGACGCGACATAAGATACAAGTACTTATCTGGAATTGCGAAAGCTTTATGCTAATACCTTATTCGTCATCTCTAGGTTGGACTTCGTTAAGCAGGCCCTGCTTGCATTTCTTATTTCTCCCCTGCTCTCTTCGCCAGATATTGATATCCCTATCGGCCAGGGTGACTATCGCAGTGTCCTATCGCTGTAGACTGAGAAGCTTCTAATTGTTATGAATCTTATGGCTGCTCCTGGAAGTGACGGAATGGTTTTCAAGCTTGTTGAGACACTTTCTGCAAAAAGGTTGCTGAAGACAGCCAGGACGGGCGGTACGGCTGCCTAGCTTCAAGCCAGGTCTTGGGTCAACGGCTCTGGGAAACATATGAAAACTGTTGCGATTCAGCTTAAGATGGTTACAATGAGGTGCAATGCACATAGTTAAATCTAATATTCTATGGAAGATGCAAAAGTTTGAGAATACAGAGGGGGTTCGAAGGATTGATTTGATACCTCACGAAGTGCCAATCCAATAAAGCGGCCATTTCGATAAGTGAACTCTTGACTATACCATTCGTGAAAAGCAGCTCACGACTCAGGAACAGCAGTGACAGTATAACTAGGCACTAAACAACCATAACCCCTAGAAATGAAACATGATATGAGGAGAACTCTCTACTCTCTAATAAACAGTTTTATTCCCATTCGTGTCTTCATTTGCCGTAAACATCAAAATAAGAGACATCGGGAAGAAAATCACAGGTAGCTGTGAGTTCTAATTAGAGCGCAGTAGGAAGCTCATAGCCCCATTCGCGTTGGCCAGCCCACTGCAGGAATGAGTTGGGAAGACCTTGCAACTTGTCGGCGGGCAGGAAGCTCTTCAGCTCGGAGTAAACGCCACAGCCGCTCTTTTCCACCTTGCGGCCCTCAAATCGATCTTCTATCCAGCGCAGCCAGGTCTGCTGGGCGGCCCTGAGCACTGGGAAGTGGGCGACACCGAAAACCGCGAGAAACTCGAGATCACCCTTCTGAGTCTTGCAAGTGTCCTGCACGGTCTCGTAAGCAATCTTATACCCACCGCCAGTAGCATCCGCCGTGCCCTGGAAGACAAGCATCGGGCCCTTGAATGGAAGATTTCCCGCGTTGGACAGCTTGGGGAACCACTGGGCGGCATCAGTTTCGTTCCAGGTAGGGTTGACAATGGCGTCTCCATTAGCGAGCAAGTAGGTGGTGGTCATCTGGGATCCCTCAATCTGCTTGAGCAGCTCAGTTCGCGCAAGTCCCAGAGGCGTGAGCCAGTCGCTGAGCTTGAAGTCCTTGTAGATCTGATCCAGGTCCTTGCCAACCCAGTTGAGGAAGTCTTCTGGGAAGAAAGACAGTGTGTTCTGGGCAGGGGCGACTACAATTGTGCCCAAATGATGCTTTGCCACGTCCTCGAAGCCAGAGTTCTTCCTGGCCAAGACTTCAGAGACACCCCAGCTGACTGCGCCGCCCTGACTGTGGCCGATGACAACATGATCCTTTGACAAACGGCCCGAGAAGGCCTTCCAGGAGGCTCTCACGGCGTTGAGTGCATCATTAGCTCCGGCTTCGCGCACGAGGTATTGGTGAGGGATTTGCTTTCCATCCCAAGATGTTCCCACGCCCAGCCCAGCGTAGTCTGGTGCGACAACCACGTAGCCAGCATCAGCCAACGCGAATGGGACGAAGTCGGCATAGAAGAGAGATCGATGAGCTGAGGGTGCGCCAGATGGGTAGAAGCCTGAAGTGCCGTGGGTCCAGACCACAACCGGTGCAGTAGACCCGTTTTGTTTCGCTCCGTTTGAGAACTTCTTTGCCTGGTATGGCCAGAGGATAAAGGCAGACGCAGGGATCAGCGTCCCGTTGAGGTTGGTTGTGGAGTAGATGATACGGGATAGCACGGTGCCGGAGGGGATCGACCATGCTGAACTGTTCGTAAACTCTTCGACCTTGATGATCTCGCCAGGTTTGGTTGGCGCCTTCAAGTTGGGCGGGAGCTTGTAGAAGTCATCCGCAAAAGGACCACCGTTGGCAAGCTGGGTTCGATCGTAGTTGACAATGTTTGCCACCGACTCTCCGTACTCGGCAGTCAAATTACCAAGAGCCAGCTGCTCGGCGGAGAATTGGAAGGTCGAGTTCCATTGTGTAGTTTGAAGTTTAGGCGGCGTGGTATCGAATTGGCCAACTGCCAGTTTGACAGTAGCGGCCAAGACTGCCAGTCGAGCGATGCGGAATGCCATTGTGAGTCTTGAGTGATTGTTATGCAATGGCTGTCTTGATTTTTGCTAGCATATTGAAGAATTCTCTTGATTTCTGTTGAAGCTTTATAGGAATCATCATAGTTGGTCCATTGCACCATCTGCTGTGGTGAAGGCATACTCAACAGGCTTGCGTATCCCAAACGGGCATGAGCGTATTCGCCAATATGCGGAGCGTATTCAGGGCGTATTTGGTGCCATCGTTTCCCGTATGCGTACCTTGAAAACTGGGTACATCGATCCCGCCGGCAGATCTTACGTATTAGTACTCCCGGCTTAGTTGATGCAGAGAGATCATCAGAGAAAGCAGCTGACACCACGATGGAAAAGTCGGGATTAGAACTAGCCGGCACATCCGGCTCTTCTGTGCAAAATGCCCTGCTATCTATATCCTCAAGAGCAGAATCTGGTCGATATAGCCTCCTACATCCGTCATAAGACTGGTTCGGAAAGACTAAAAGGTGCGTAGCCGGCACTTGGCTCCGACTGTGTAATCTGCCACACTATTCTGAGATGCAATTGGCCCGCAAGGCGTCATCGAGCCAGTGCAGCTTCCTGACCAAGCCTCTAGGTAAGCCTTGATACGCCTCTGTCGTAATCGGGGCGCATCGCCGGCTGATTAGGGAAGTGTACTACGAAGCTCTTCTGATCAACCAGAAATTTCAATCGACGGGAAATCTCCTTGACAATAAGTTTGTGGCCTACATACTATATGAACCAATGGGACTAGAAATATACGTAGCGGCAAGACCTATCCCATGGCCCTTGGTCATATACGGCAGAGTTGCCTGTGTGCAATGCATTCGCTCGTACACGCCCAATTCCCAACTCCTTGGCTTCCTTCACTAAGTCTTGCCACAGCGGCCGGGAACGATACATATACTCTGCCCATTCCTCGGCATCACGGCATAGTCTCAAGAACTTAGAACTACCATGTGCAACCCCTTCCAACCCTGATACACTTGCCTAAAAGGCACACGCCCTACTCAGTGCCAGTCACCCTGATGCACCTATTTATCTCATGAATAGCCATTGGTGATTGCTGATCACGCTCTGTAGGATTCAACACCGGTCTGACATGCAGGATGATCCTACGCTAAGGCATGGCGGCTGTCGTACATTAAACGGGGCAGTACGATACTCAGACCAGATGGGGGCTTATACTGGCTCGTTCTCAGGTATACGAAGCCGCAAACGCGCTCTTCATTTCTCTCATGTTTTGGCTCTGAGTGTACGCTTTCTCTTGTCTTGGGCTTCTCTCCTTTTCTTCCCCTCACCACGCACGCCATGCCCTCCGACTTCCCCACGGGTTATGCTGAGGAGACCAATGGTCCTCCTGTGCTCATCGCAAGCGGCATCTTCATTGGCCTCCAGATCACAATAGTCGCCCTACGCCTAGCTACCCGCCTGACACACCGAGGACAACTCGGTATAGATGATTATCTTATTCTTCCGGCCTTGGTCTTTAGCGTTGGCATCTGCGTTATTGCCATCCTCGAAGTTAGGATTGGTGGCGTCGGTCGTCATCTGGCCGTTATCCTTGCTACTGATCCTGTGGCGATCCAGAACTGGGCAAAATTGGCCTATTCCATGGAAACCACCTATTGCGCCGCTATCGCGTTTCCAAAGCTTTCTATCCTTGCTTCCTATCTGCGGATTTTCACCACGAAGCCGTTCCGTATCGCCGCTTACTGTGTAGCAGCTTTTGTATCCGCCACAGCTATCGCAGGTATCATCACATCTCTTACCATCTGCAGCACTTTTGCGGGACGTTGGGATACCAAGGTATTTCCCGGTAATTGTAGGAATATCTTGGCTTATTGGAAAGGGATGAGTGTACCAAACATCGTATCTGATGTAGTCATGCTGGTTCTACCCATGCCTGTGATTTGGCGACTGCACATTGAAAGAAGACAGAAAGTGGCGTTAATGTTTGTGTTTCTTCTCGGTAGCTTGTATGCTCCCCCTTTCTCCCTCTTGCCTTGATTCCCCCACGACTTTTACATGAGTTCTAACACGACATGTTCTTAGGGGCATGGTAGCGTCCATCGTTCGCCTGATAGTAGCTTTCCGTATCACAGGACTCCAGGATGGCACATACGATTCAGCAGTGCTCGTCATCTGGTCGGTGGTTGAGGGGGCTTGCTACCTGATTGCCGCTTGCCTTCCCACCCTCCGACCTCTATTCATAACTATGGCCAAGACCGCGAGGGACACTCTGAGTTATCCCAAGCAGTCATCTGGGGCGCTTGATGACTCTCACGTTGATAGCCATCATTTGAAACCGATTCGCGAGCGATACGAGGCCGACAATCTGAGTGAGCGTCAAATGTTGGAGGACAAAGTTGGCGTCTAGGAGCCAACACCAAGTCGAAGATCAGAGATTCGGGATGCAGAATTAATAAGTGAAAAAAATTTGCACTAAAATTTTGCAGTGAATTATGTCATACGTGCTCTCGTCGAATTTACCAGAGGGGAGTAGAGAAGCCTGACGCTGGCTTTGTCAAATTTTGCTCTGGCCAAGATACTTTTGATTGAGACAACCTTTATGCGTAACGCGAGTTCCAACCGCCGTACTTCCGTAGCTCATGGAGAGCTTCCTCGACCTGGTACTTTTTCTCGTCGATTTCTGCTTCAAGTTGGTGCAACTGTGCAGCAATTTCGCTATCCACGTTCATCCAATTTGCGTGAAACTCTCGCCCTGCGACAGAAGCTCTCCACCTAAAGCTTTGTCTGTTCCATGCTTCTTCAAATCGTCGTCTTTCCGCTAATTTCGCTTTGGTGTGGTTGATCATTCTCGTGTTGATCTCCTGTAATGATTCTTGCAACTCCCATACTCGGATCTCCGCGGCCCTCTTCCTACTAAGCATTTTCAAATGGGTCGGGGCGCAGTATGCTTTCTGTCTTCAAAAGTTGGCTTAATTTCGTTTCTTTGTGGTATTTGGCTAAACTGAGTTGTTGACTTAGAGTTGGAGGGGACGAAACGGTTGATGGGGGATTCGAGATTGTTTACCTTCAAAGAAGTGATTTCTCTTGGAAGATGTTTAGTTCAGCTCCAAACAGAAGGAAGTTAGCCCCACTGACTCATAGTTCACTAACTTGCGCAGCGTTGGGAGTTTTGTGACTGAATCAGCCATGGTTACGGGGTGCTTCGGGGGTGACTGGGGCGAGGTTTTGCCCATCGCGTGACAAGTTTCAGTCACACAAACACCTCCCTCACCAAACCCATAAGTAAGTCAACTCGCCGAGCTATTTATGAACTTAATTTCAACATGTATTCTAATAGATGGGTAATGGTCTATTTTTGGTTTAGCATGTACCAGGAGGCTATGTTACCGCAGGACAAAGACGTCTAACTAAATAACAAGATCAAGGTATTCCTCTGCGAACCAACAAAGAGATCTACCTATTCTTCCGCCACCATGACCAATCTTAAACACTTAAGGATATAAAAATATCTCTTACGGCAGTAAATGGTGCGTCAAGCACATACCGTTTGTATCTTACTGCCCCCTACTGAGACTTGGTGTATTCGGTTCCTGCAACCCATACTCTCTTAATGTTGCGCGTGTCCTTGATATTCTTGATAGGATCTCCCTCGACCAAAATCAAATCAGCCCTCTTTCCAGGCTTGATGCTTCCTCGATCATTTAATCTCCAATGCCTAGCTGGCACAACCGTAGCAGATCTGAGAAGCTCAACATTCGACATTCCCGCCTCTGCCATAAGCACAAGTTCTTCGTGGAAGGATGCTCCGAAGGATACGGCGGGAGAAATTTCATGGTTTGCATCTGTCCCAACCATAATCGGGACATGGGCTTCATGATACAAGCGCAGTGATTCACGAGCAGCCTCATAACTAAGTTGCCCAGCGCTCCCAAGATCGGCGAATGCTTTCATTATGGATAACGTAGGCACAAGAACCTGGCCGCGCGCAAAGACTTGCTGAGCCAGATCCTGTGTGATTGGCTTGTCAAGCGGAGTGTGATGGATTTGGTCTGTGCCTGACTTCATAGATTGAACGTGGGACTCGGCGTCTGCTGCATGGCATACCACCTGCCTGCTGTGATTATGGGCTTGACCAACCAAGGCATCCAAGGTGTCTTGTGAAAGACCAGGAGTCTCCACTACCAGCTTGAAGAAGTCAGGCTCCCACGAGAGCTGTTCTTCAATCCAGCGCGAAACATCGGTTTCTCCTTGAACAAGCAGGCTTGGGTTTGACGTGCTGTTCTCGACGAGGTCGCCATGCCTGCTTCCAGGGGCAGACGCGGGGGCAGTTCCCGCCAGGAGATCAACGAGGCCTTTTTGGCCGTCGAGAGCCGTACATTGACCCTTTGCAAAACAAGCCATTTGGAATGCAGTCGTGATCCCGTGACTTGTGAGGGCCTCCAGATCGTCATTATTCCGTGGATGGGCATGAGACTCGATAAAACCAGGAAGCAGAACGCCTCCTTGGCCATCAATTCGCACCGTAACATGGGATTCGTCATGTCCTATAACCGTGCCGTCAATGATAACTGTAGATGGGGGCAACAAATTCCAGCCATCAAACACCTTTACATTGTCAATGGCAATCTTTTGGTTCTTTCCGCATTGCGGCACAGTTGTGTTGGCAAGGTCAACCTTTAGCAATGGCCAAGATGCAGAAGGACTCGCCAGATGCGACGAAGTGAGTGATGACACAAGTGACATATTGGTTCGGAAGCCAATGAGAAACGTTGATGATGCGTGCTGGGATCAGGTACTTGGTGTTGATGAGGATATGAAGCGACATACATGATAGAATTGGGTACTGCGTTCGACTAATATACTTGCTCCAGCTCACTTTACTCACTCCCGGGCAATCCACGATTATTGAATCGTTTCGCCAAATGGATCCCAAGAAAGCTAGAAGCGCGACTGCAAGGGATCCTAACACTTCGCGGGACACTTTCAATCCCGAATCCAATGAAGCTGAACCCAGACGATGACATCTGACAGAGAGGATGTGGCACCGACCCTGCGCAATCCCGAGTCGCAGCACTAGCTAAAATCGGTAAGTTGAGCGATCGGCTGTGGCTCTGTAAGACGGCGGGTGAAGATCCCTTGAGCCCCTTAGGAGACCGACGCCGGGTCTGACCCCCAGTAAGATCACATATTTTTCATCAAAAGGGCCCTTGGGCCAGTTGGGTTTTCGTGTTCTAACGGGGGGTTGACCCCCTCAGCTTACACCCCTGCTTTCTAAAGTGGTTAGACCATATGATGGGGTTGACGGTTCCGAACAAGGTAGGTGAGGCTATTAGGGGTTTAAGCTATGCTATGGTCTTATTAATCCCTCTTCTAGGAAACGATTGCCAGGTCAGATTCGAGACATGGGAGGGTGAGCGTTACGATCGCGGTCAGCTTCATGTCCGTATGCGTGTTTCCCTTCATCCTAATATAGAGCTATGCCCACATGGACTGAGCTAAGCTTGATCACTTAAGGTAGTCAAGTATCAGTAACCGAAGCCTTCCCTGGAGCAGCCACATTTATTAACTAGCAGTGTTCAAAATTAGGTGAAGTGGTTCACTCTTGAGGGGAGGGCAATATTCTCATCCGTGATCCCCTTAACCATAGGCACAACTTTTGTTTACAAACCCGAATAATTTCATAATTCCAGTATTCTACTTGTCTCTCGAAGTGCCGAAGCCAATTGCTATGAAGCCGGGATGGATGGACGCAGTCTTGATCTCAGGGTAATGCCTCGCCAATTACCGGAGCCACATAATCATGGTCAGTTTACTCTGTCCGCTGCGCTGCATTCCAGGGAACTTCTCGCAGGACTTTTTGACTAGATCGAAGTCAATACCCTTTTTAGGAGCAAAGCTGCATCCGTATGAAGTTACGCCTACCCACGACTCTTACATCTGCTACTCCTCCTTACGAATGAAGACCTTCTAGCCTATCATCAACTCGGAAAGTCTTGGAAATTGGTTCCTGCATGTGAAAAATTGGGATAAAGCTTTTGTGATTTTCTATGGCATCAAGATACCCCGCAAAATCTATGTATCTACGTTATATATCTATCCAAGATTCATTATTTCAAGCTCCAAAGACCTTAACGCGCTCCTCAATAGCCTGGAATTCCTTTGGTCCAGCCTCTCCGCCACGGCCACCGAAGACGAGCTGTGCGTTCAACTCCCAGGTTTCAGGGACCCCCCACTCAGCAGCAACCTTTAGGTCGATGAGAGGGTTATAATGTTGGAGGTTGGCGCCCAGACCCTCGGCCTCAAGTGTGGCCCAGAGAATGTATTGCTGCATGGCCAGACTTTGGGAGGCAAAGCCAGGGAACTTATCAGCATAGAGGGGGAAGCCGTCCTGCATCTTCTTGACGGCGGTCCTGTCATCGAAGAACAGAATAGTACCCGCACCGGCCTTGAAGCCAGCAACTCGGTCGGCAGTGGACTGCCAGCCCTCTGCGGGCACAATAGCCTTGAGAGTGTCTCTAACGATGTCCCAGAGCTTGTCGTGCTCGGCGCCGAAAAGCACGAGCAGGCGGTTGGACTGTGAGTTGAAGGACGATGGTGTGTGGAGGGTGGACTGGTTGACGAGCTCCTGGATCTGGGAGGTTGTAAGAGATCCGAGGTCCTTGTTCAGCTGATAGATAGTGCGGCGGCCCTTAACGACCTCGAGAAAGGCTTCAGTTGAACTCTTGAAGGTGGCCATTTTGAAAGATTTGGTGGCTAATATTTGGATTGTGGACTTGGTAGATGTGCAAATAGTGCTCCTATCGGTGTTGTATTGAGGTCGTAATGAAGTTGTATTGACGCATGGGAGGAGATAGGTGCCGGCGCCAGGTATAAATACCATACCAAAGGCGCCCACTATCAGGTCACTTCACATTGTTCCACAGAGGAAGATAGTCCCATTGCATGCCCGGAAGCCTACAGATCCCGCGCCAGTCAGATTACCTGTTGAGCTCTGCCCCGATTTGTCAGTGGCCAGGAGATAACCAGACTGGTGCCCATCTAAAACATGGTTCGCGCGCGGTAATGCGCCACGACCGCTCCACATCGAGCCCCTGTCTCACCACTAAACTTCCTTATTCTGAAGTTATGAAACCAAAACAGGGATCTAGACCGAGTATCAACTTAGTCATAGCCGCGCGCACTGATTATCAATCCAACTTGGGACTCTAGGCCGAAGTCCTTTCCAATCCGTTACTTCCATTGCAACGGCTGGTAGCATTGAACCTGAACTCCACGCCACCAGGGCCAATATCATCCCGAGGGTGGATGGCACTTCCCTGGTAGTCCCAAAAGTATCGGATCACTCACCAGACTGTTTTCCGGAACCCGGACAGTGAGGGTTACAAAACCTACCTCGCGGCTTCTAGTAGGCATGATAATTGACACTCGTTCCAGGACGATATCTGCCCATTTTCTGGATCCGGCTGATCTTGAGCACTCACAAGCCCTGGTACTATTTTCACGTGGGTGTGTCACGCAATTTGTGCAGGAAATGGCTTGGAGGCGGAACTGGCGGCTTTCACTGGTTCCGGTTCCGCAACCATACCACAACAAAGGAGGGGTCGGTCTTGCACCAATTACTAGTTGAGGGGTTTGTTGGATTCTCTCAGTGGCTTTTTGTTGAGTCTAGGCGCTTGCTCAAGCCACACTGACTTCATTGCTTTCATCCTCTTCTTCGTCATGATATTACTCCTAAACTGCGGAATATAGAGAGTATCCGCACCCATTATTCGGTTTAATATCTACAATCCATCTCCAAAGAGTCCCTGGTATTTCATCTTCCGGCCAATATAGCCAAAGGTTCCCCCTACAATTCTATTCCCCTCATATAACCTCAAATAATGGATGTAGAAGGTTACTTTTACCAACGTCACTACATCAT